CCATCCTTTATGAAATTGTCTCAGGTCATTAGCAAATGTCATGCCTAATTTTCTTCAATTGTTATATAATGCTATCATTTATTTCTTTCACAAATCTATATTAATTTGATATGAAAGTCATTTGGTGAATTAACGCATCAGGCTAGAAACCTGGAGATTGCGAGTTCTAATCCCATTTTAGGCACAAAGCCAACTAGGTGACCTTGGGCCAGTCACTTTCTCACAGCTCTAGGAAGGAGGCAATCAGGGGTGAAATCCAACAGGTTCTGACAGGTTCTGAAGAACCGGTAGCGGAAATTTTGAGCAGTTTGAAGAACCAGTAGTGGAAATTTTGAGTAGTTTGGAGAACTGGCAAATACCACCTCTGGCTGGCCCCAGAGTGGGGTGGAAATAGAGATTTTTGCAATATCCTTCCCCCAGGAGTGGGGTGGGAATGGAGATTTTGCAGTATCCTTCCCCTGGAGTGCGGTGGGAATGAAGATTTTGCAGTATCCTTCCCCTGCCATACCCACCAAGCCACGCCCACCAAGCCACACCACGCCCACCAAGCCACGCCCACAGAACTGGTAGTAAAAAACATTGGATTTCACCACTGGAGGCGATGGCAAGCTACTTCTGAAAAACCTTGCCAAAAAAATCCTGCAGGGACTTGAACAGCCGGGGTGGGGGTGGGGGAAATCCCCATATATGAAAATGTGTTGGTAGTGTCACAAAACTGCATTCCCTTTACCAAATTGATTGCTTTAGTGAACAGGACAATATTTATTTACCTAACTTATACTCCACTGCAATCAGAGTACTCTTGGAACTCACAAAATAAGAGGCGACAACATAAAAACCTAAAAGACAACTCAATTAAAACACAGGTAAAGCTTGTTACATCCTTTATCCATTGAAGCTTTCTGCTTGAAACTTCACAAAAGCACTCAAATGTTTCTTTATTTGATAGTTTATTTAATCAAGCAATTGATCATTTTTGTTGCCTCCTGGTTCCTTTGCTACTTTTGCATTTATGAATTTTGATGGAGTTTATGTGCCTATGCCATAATATGGAGGTGGTGACAGATTTTATTTTCCTGCGCTCCAAGATCACCGCAGATGGGGACTACAGCCAAGAAATTAAAAAAACACTTGCTCCTGGGGAGGAAAGCCATGGCAAAGCTAGACAGCATACTAAAAAGCAGAGACATCGTCCTGCCAACAAAAGTGCCTATAGTCACGGCTATGGTTTTCCCAGTTGCAATGTATGGCTGTGAAAGCTGGACCATAAGAAAGGCTGAGTGCCAAAGAATTGAGGCTTTTGAACTATGGTGCTGGAGAAGACTCCTGCGAGTCCTTGGACTGCAAGGTGAACAAACAAGTCAGTCCTAGAGGAGATCAACCCTGACTGCTCTTTAGAAAGCCAGATCCTGAAGATGAAACTCAAATACTTTGGCCACATAATGAGAAGGAAGGAATCACTGGAGAAGAACCTAATGCTGGGAACAATTGAGGGCAAAAGAAGAATGGGATGACAGAGAACGCGGTGGCTGGATGGAGTCACTGAAGCAGTAGGCGTGAACTTAAATGGACTCCAGAGGATGGTAGAGAACAGGAAGGCCTGGAGGAACATTGTCCATGTGGTTGCGATGGGTCAGACACAACTTTACAATTAACACCAACAACAAATGCCATAATAAATAAAGGAAGAAAGAAAAACAGGCACCAAATACATGTCATACCCCAAAAGCCATGAAGATCGCAGCAAGTAAAGAGGGGAACTAAGCGTTTTAATAATTTGCTCAGGACATAGAGGACATAGAGGAAACTGCTGGAGCAACTGTGATCTCCAAACTAATGTTTTCGCTTTCCCATTTCTCACAGCTAGCTACTTCATCTGGAAGACTCATTTCACAAAAAGCAAGGCCTTGCATTCTATCAGATTTCTCTATTATATTAGACAGAAACATTTATAAACCTCTCTCCCTCTCTCTGTCCTTCACCCACTCTCAACCTCCAAATACCTCACTATACAGAAATTTCTCCCTTCTCATAGGATGTGGGTTTTTCATTATAGGCAACTATGTTCTCTGTCCCCATGGTTTAATCCATTCTGTTTACTGTGCCCCCATTCCCATGGATTCCTTCTTCTCCTTCCCATGGTTCCATACACTTAATTATTATTATTAAACATATTGTGCAAGATTGCCCATGACATGCATTCTCTGTAGAAGATCTGTACAAAGCAACGCCAGAAGCGATTGCCTGGATAGCTGAATTGGACATCCAGTTATGAAGCAACTGCGATACCCCCATAAAAGTTTTACCTATAATTACATGAATGTTGTACATCTGTTTATTTCACTTCTATCCTGTTCTCATCATACGCTAAATAATAATAATTCACTTCATTTCCCTTTTTTCCCTTTCTCCTTTTTGGGAGGTTTACAACATACATGCACAAGACTGAAGACTGAGTTTCCCTCTCTCTGGGTATTCAAGAATTCCCCACCCAAATGCCAATAGATGTGGACACTGCAGCACAGCAGGCAAAAGAATTAAATGCAACAGGGAGGTTCATATTAAATTAACAGCAAGCCTTTCTGCTCATCCTTAAGCCCTTCAAAAGCAATAGCAGCATGAAATGAGCCGTCCCCATTGCCAGTCCCTGTCTTGTGTTTATCCCCTCCATTCCCAGTAACTGCACTCCCCTGACTTCAGACCCAGCACATAGAATGAATACAGCAGACCCTGACTGAAACGACAGCAGCCTTAAATCAATATTTATATGGCTTTATTGTATATTGTTTAAAACTTAATCTACAACACACCATTTGTCCTATAGCAAACATGACAGGATTAGAGGAACAAAGCAAAAAGAGGGACTCTCATGACAGAGAAAAAGGAAAACCAGGTTCAGTGTATTTGTGCTGGCTTCTCTTTCATATGGAATTAATGGTGGTTTAATGGGGTATGAAAGAATGTTTTACTGGAAACAATGAGGAACAATTGTCTAGCTCACGTTTCATTTCACAGGTCATTATTGCATTAAGAAGTAAATCGACCAAGTCCGGTAAATAACAGTCTGGGTATTGCTGAAAGCTTCAAACCAAACAATCTTACAGTTTTCACCTAATATCTCTGTCATTTTTAACCCTTACAGAGATCTGCTGCAGGCTAAACAATTATTATCTTCACCCACCCCTGGCAGGTAAGCATTATTCATTTTACCTTCTCTAGCAAGCCCCACCAGGCAAAGGGTTTTACATTGTTGTTTTGTTTATTAGGCAGCCTAGCCAACTGTGTATCTGGTGGCCTTGAAAAACAACACAACTTTTAGTGAGTGCTGCAGGCATCTTTAAACAGGCTGCTTCCTCTGCAAAATTAATTGTTGCAAAACACAGCACTTCTTCTGTGTCAAGTACTGCGCACTGACACTCAGCAGTTTGTCTTCGTTATGGATATGCCAGGGAAATTTAGGGCAATGCCATTCTTCAAGTTCACATGCAAATCCTGTAAAGTGTGAGGCTTATTCACTCTTGAGAAGGCCGACCTTGTTACTTACTTAATTTTCATCTGGGAACTATAAAGTCTAGCTGTCCTGTCGCCCATCTCTCAATATATAAGCAATTACTGTACTGTTCTTTGAACAACATCAGTCAAATATATTAATCTTAAATTCCTCTGAATTCTATTTTTCACCCTATTTAAAATTCTTTTCTGACACGTCCTTATGAATTCAGTTTCTCGCAGAACAGATGTCTAGAATTTAAGAATTATTTCCATTCACATGTTATAACTTTTCAGGAGGAATTCTTTCTGCTAAATTTATTCGCTTCATTTTTCAAACATGCTTCTCACGTCTCAGTTATTTTACAGTCCAAGGAACCTGAATACCACTCAGAACCTGGATGAAATTTAGTGACCCCTCTGACAAATTAAGGGTAATTATATGTTGTTTTTTTCTTTCAAACATGTGTTTTAAAATTCTCATTTTGAATTTATTATGTGCCATTAAGTGATTTTCAACTCTTAGCAACCACATACCCTGTTCCCCCAAAATAAGACATCCCCTGATAATAAGCTCAATCGGGCTTTTGAGCTCATGGCAATAAGGCCAAGCACTTATTTCAGTGTTCAAAAAGATATAAGGTAGGGTCTTATTTTTGGGGAAACACGGTAGATTTTCTCTGCAACAATCTTTCCGTAACCTGCTCTTTCGGGTCCATTTTGAATGGATATATAGTTTTTAATATCCATGCAGAGCATGAAAAGTCCCTTGGAGGGTTATATATAGGTAATCCTTGATTTACAACATTCATTTAGTAACCATTTGAAATTACAACAGCACTGAAAAAAGTGACTTAGGAGCATTTTTCATACTTATGGCTGTTGCAGCATCCCCATGGTCACATGATCAAAAACCGGATGCTCAGCAACTAAAATTGCAGTGTCCCCGGGTAATGTGATCATCTTTTGTGACCTTGTAACAAGCAAAGTCAATAGGGAAGCAAGATTCATTTAACAACTGTGCTACTAACTTAACAACTGCAGTGATTCATTCAATAACTGTGGCAAGTAAGATTGTAAAATGGAGCAAAACTCACTAAACAACTGTTTTGCTTAGCAATGGAAATTTTGGGCTCAGTTGTATTCGTAAGTCAAGAACTACCTGTATGTGGGGGCTTAGCAGCCTTTTCCATGATAATACAGTAGCATTCTGGAAAATGTTTTTAACTTTCTTGTAGGCCCCCTTGTTCAAAAATTAACTTCTTTTTGTGTATTAGAGGATATTGTTCCTCAAAACTATTCTGGTTTTTTTATATTGTATTATGTTGATTTGATTGGTTGGTTGGTTGGCTGATTATGATAATAGAGGGAGGAAATTCAGTTAATATCTCTTTCCTATTCTAACACTTCTCAAGGTGCATAAAAAATAGTCATGGTAGCAGGAAAACAGTAAAAACTTCAGTTGCTCTTAGCCCCACAATGTAGACCACACCAGGAATCAACTTCACAGGGAAACTAAGACTACTTTTATTGAGAAGGGCTATAATAAAAAAAATGTAACCAGTCTAATTGTGCCATAGTTCTTGCTTCTTATATTCATATGAAGATGAAGATTTCTGTCTGAATCTCTTTGCCATATTTCTACCTGTTTCGGATTTAAGATTTGCTTTTCCCCTCATTGCTGTATTCATCCTCAGTATCTCCATCAGTGTCATCTTGTCTATGCTCTACAATTGTTTTACATAGATACAGAAAACTCATCTCAACTGAGGAGTATAGATCAATAGTTATCAGGAAAAGAAATTTCCTTGTATGGTGTTATTTTCCATTATCTCAACATTTTACCAAAGAGTTATCATATAATATATGCCATAAAAATCAATATCCCCAATTAAAGCTTGATACCTAAAAATAAACCATAATATAAAAAGTTAACTGGTATATCAGCAAAGAAAAATATGGTGATAAAGCATCTCATTTGTTTTAAGAATTGAACTTCCAGGAATAAATGCTTTGGGACTCACCATAAAGTAGTGCAGCAGATAAGGGACATATTATAAAGCACTTCTATAAATGTTGGGTCATTAAAATTAGGAAGATATGATTCCTGTCCATGGTTTGGATTTGAAAACGAGAAGCCAATAAACAAAGAGGTTCCCAAGATGTACACGTACATTTAAGATAGAAGTGGATGGTCAATTTCTTCTTCTTTTTTAAAAAAGTTTTTACTAATGACACTGATTATAGTTTTTACTAATAATACTGATTATTAGCTCAATGTGAAATCCTTCTAAGGGACTTTTCTCAATGACTTCCATATACTGTATTTTTCAGAATATAAGACGCACCTTCCCCCCCCTAAAAGGGGGTGAAAATTTAGATGCGTCTTATACACCAAATGTAGCCCTGCCCACCCACTGGCCCCCACCCTTTGGCTCTGCCTCGCAGCAGTTACCTCCTTGCGAGCAAGCAGCAAGAAAAAACAGCTCCTTTCAGCTTCAGCACAGCCTAATTAGCACAAGTTGATTGTATCAGCCTCCTGACTCTCAGCTGATTTGCTCTCAGCTGTTTTGAGCAGGGCTCTGCTGCTTGCTGCAAAGAGGTAAATTGCTGGAGCAGATTTTTTTTTCCTTGTGCTAATCAAGCTATGCTGAAAAGGAAAATGAAAGTAAAGCAGGCTGTTTGCTGTTTGCTGTAAGGAGGCAAAATTGCTCAGAGGCAGAGGCAGATTTCTTTTTCTTCTTTTCGTCACCAAAAAAGGTAGGTGCGTCTTATACTCCAAAAAATACGGTATGTCCTTTTCTAGAAAACTCTTCTGGAAATTCTTAAAATGACAAAGATGGTTGTTTTCTGATGACAAATCAAGAAGCTTATGACCTGATATGTGCATGACCATAAAGGCTGATTAAACCTGCCTTTAAAGGTCTATTTGATGGACCTTGGTGTCTGACTTTGACTTGTGATTCATAATCAGGTCAACAAAAGCAGGGGGGAAGATCATGTCTGTGCAAGACAGTGAATTAATCAGCCCTCTAAGCAGCCTCTAAGACAGATCCTTAGAGAAATGCCTTTTACCCTGGAAGACATTAGACGTTTTATTTAAAGATTAAACATTTTGTTTAAAGATTAAAGTTCTTTTTGTGCTTAATCGCTTTCCAGGGCAAGATGGAAAATGGGATTAATTACAGTCCCCTGCATTAAGCTCCTATCCAGCAGAAGTCATAAACGACGTAACTTTTCTGCAAAATGGCCACCATCATGAACAGCAGGCTCCAGAGATAGTAATTGTAATTAAAGAGTTTATCTGGAGTCACAGCACAGACTTAATCAGGATGGGAACTGAGCCTCACTGCATGCACTTTCAGCACACGGCTGTATAACAAAATAGCTCTTTTGAAAAGGCAGTTTACTCTAAAAAGTCTGAGCAGGACTTGATGCCGGCGGGCCTTCCGTCCTCTGTGGGATTCACACAAAATCTTATTAGGTCAATTGTTTAGAAAGCATCTCTCATTAAGGGATTTCAAAACACTTGTGAAAAGTGAATAAAATTACCTTGCTCTATTGAAGAATAAATGTGGACCAGGCTGCCGTTAATACATATAAAGGTTATGTTGAATTAAGTTACTTGCCCTGGAACTAGGAGAGACATATACAATTGGAAACTGTACCCCTGAGACAACGACTCTAAATTCTTTATTGTCATACTGCCATCTTTCTGGAATAAAGACACCAAGTGTATATCCAGGAATAATTGTCTTCAAATGGCCATAGTAGCACTGGATTCCTTCTAAGTCCCTGTCTCTCGCATATAAAATTCTTTGGTATTGTTGTCTACCCTTGATTAGCAACTTACCAGCATCCTGGCATGCTTGTTCACAATCCAATTCTGATTTTTGGAAAACTGATACAGGTGAATCCAATCCTAGGGCACTTCCATCCAAATCTTTGAAAAGAGCTTTCCTTGACCTCCCACAAATCGCATTACCAGATGAGCCAGGTATTGATTCATTTACGCTGACAAGAAAGGAAGAAATATGAGACTGAATTCAGCCCAGGGAACATACCAAACATGCCAATTACTGATATACATGAAAGTTAAATAGGAGACAGCATAATAGTGATAAAGGAAAGATTTCCCCTGTCCAAATGTCTGATTCTAGAGGGCGATGATCATCTCTGTTTCTTAATTGAGGGAGCCATTGTTGTCCAAAAACACTTCCATGGTCATGTGACTAGCTTGACTATACACTGAGGCCAGTGGTGGGTTCTAACCAGTTTTACCACCAGTTCGCATCACACACATGCTTTGCGCGCGATCGCCAAACTTGCGCTTTGTGCAAGCGCATTGAATAAAAAAACAGCTGAGGCATGGCAATCCACTCTGCCACACCTAACAACTGAGTTAAAAACAAAGGAATAAAGGTTTGCTCTCATATCAAGATTTCCACTACTGGCTCTCCCAAACCAAGGAGAACCGGTAGCAACCCACCACTGACCGAGGCACACAGAACACTGTTACCTTCCCACCAAAGTAGTACCTATTTATCTACTCACATTTGCATTATTTCAACCTGCTAGGTGAGCAGGAGCTGGGGCAAGTAATGGGAGTTCACCCTGTTGGATGGCACTCGGGTCTCAAACCTGGGCTGCAACTTGTAATAGTGATAATAAAAGATAAACTCTCAAAAAAAAAAAAAAGATGATGATGCATGTATACTCCTTTAATGCTTTACAGATGATATTGCAGGTGCTTTGCCTGAACATAAAGTAATGATTCTAAGTAGTACTCTATTGATGTGAGCTAGAATGGGGAACATCTTCAATCTACTGAACTTCTTCCTGAATCAGTGTATGTATCCAGATATGCACATTCCTTAGGATTCATTTTTTGCTCAAGTGGCAAACATAATGCAATGATATATTTTGTTGGAAATATATACACTGTGAGCTTATGCATATTCTATTCTATTCTGTTCCGTTCCGTTCCGTTCCGTTCCGTTCCGTTCCGTTCCACTCCACTCCACTCCACTTCACTCCACTCCACTCCACTCAACTCTATTCGTCTAATAATACACATAGTTATGGGAGCAGTACTGTATATACAAACACACACTTATGCAACAGAAAAAAAATGCATATTAAGGAAAGCAACTTGCAAAACATGTATGTGTTACAATACCATATTAAACATTTTTGAATTGATTAACTGGAGCTGAAATAAGATGAAATAAGAAATAGGAAAAAGCGACCCTATGAAAAACAAATCACTGATAGTTTTACAGATTATAAATATATCAAACATAATATTGTGGAAATCTCAGCGTTATCCAAAATGGATTACTTATAAGTATAAGTGTACCTCATTTGCAGTGGATGGAAATAGAACATATTTTGTTCCCTGATATGGAGCATTCTGGTCTGCTCAGATGTGATCAGATGCAAGATGCCTCCATGTCCGGGATTTGTCATGATGCAGATGTCTTGGTCATCAGTATAGCAACTCTTTTTAAAACCATCAAAGGTTATATCTGATAAACGGAAAGTAAAAACAGTGTAGCATAATAAAGATGGGATACAAATAAATAAACATCTCAGGCTCAATCTTGAAGTACTGTAGCTGCATTGGTGTGTATGGTCTTGTTACTTTAATTGTTGGTACCACTTTTTTCACTTTTTTGACACTTTTTTAAAAAGTCACCTAAAAGTAGAAATTAGAGGTAAAATTTGTTTAACTTCACCTAGGTTTGCAAACCTTTTTTCCCTTTTAAATAAAGGATTAATGTTTTAGGATTCAGTTAAAGATCTCATTGATTCCAGTGAGAAGTTTATGTCCCGGGGGCTTACTGAATTGATACTTCAATGTTCTGTCTAAAATTATTCGAAATGTCTTCATTTTTTTTTTCAGGAGAAAATCTTTAGCAAAATAAACAGTTGTGTCAGTTTCCCTTCTATTTCTCAGAAGGGCAGGAGAAAATAGTAGTTGTACATAGATATCATGCTAAGCATAGTTTAGTTCAAGAGTAACCAACCAACTGTTCTCTGTCTGTCCTAAACACCAGATCTCATCAGCTCCAACTGCCATCTCGAATGGCAAATAATTTGAAGAATTGTGATTCCAAAGTTCTAAAGAGAGCCAACTTCTACCCCTATTTTAACAAGACATGAACAAGGAAAAATGAATGGCATCAAGCCATGAATTTCTCCTTTCCTTCCTACCTTTCCTATGTAGCCAAGAGAGGAATTATGGTTAACTACAGCAAGCATGTCAACCTGGCCTATAATTATATTTAGTTACAATTATGGATAATTTAAGCAAGCCAAATAAGTCAGTTTGCCATAATTAAACAAGCAGGTTACTTTAAAGTGAATTATTTAAAATTAATATTTTTTTTCTTTTACTTTTTTTTCTTAATGTTTTCCTCAAGGGCAGGGTCCATTTTTTTATCAATCAATAAATCCTTTGATTGGGACAGGAATTGATTTATTTTGTCACTCAAGCCTGACATCATGGGATGGGAAGAGTGACTAGCTCAGAGTCACCCAGCCAGTTTTCATAGTCTCCTCGTTTCTAGCCCTGTGTCTTAACTAGATAAAACTTGCTCTCTTAACAATATTTCATATTAATTATGTTAATATGTTTTGGGAAGAGTATGCAAAACCACATCCCAAATTATTCATTTTACATTAGATTAATCTAGTATGTACAAACTCAGTGAATATATAATATGACCATGGATTCTCATGCTTCCCATGAGATTAGGCATATATACACACACAAAACAAACACACAAGAGACACACACACACACTTTCATCAGAAGCATATAGACAGATTTGAGTCTTTTTTCCACTAAAATGAGTCTTTCCTTCCATAACTATTTTACATTGAGAAACATAATTACATAATTATTACATAATTGTATATTTTATGGGACAAGTTCTTTGTCTCCCAACTACAACTACTTTTACTTTTTTTTGTTGGTGTCATTTAAAAAATCTTAATAATTTTCTGTTGATTATTTTAGTAAAAATATACATATGTATCTTGAAAAAAAATAAAACTGACATAAAGGCATGTATTTTGACCTAAGACTTTATTAAAATTTGGATTTAGATACAATAGCATACAAAATAAGGATTAGCTGCATTGAAATCAGACCATCCTTAAGAAAGTATTCATAGGACTGGGCTTTGGTCAGTTATAACCTGCAGCACCATAATAGAGCTGCTTGTCTAAAGATTTTTTTTTAATAAAATATGTGAGGTTCCTAAGAATTCTTTAAATAACATTTTAACAACCAAGCACCATTTGTAGTTCCAGGATTTAATATTGTATTTATTATTTCAGTATTTATTAGACCACATTATTTATTAGCTCTTAAAGTACTAACCTTGTAGAGTTGTGACTCCCATAATTATTGAATAATTTCTTATTTTATGCCATGGAGCATCAGGCCACCAATTACAGTCCAAGGTAAAAGATGGCCATAACATGCCAATTCGGCCTCTCCGGGGATTACGTGGAGCTCGGTCTGTAATTGTCACATTGGCTGAAAGAGGATGGATTCTGTCCTTGATGCAATCAAAGGAAGTGCTAGTAGCCACAAAGACAGAGTTTCTTAGTTTCAGGTGTTTTTTCTGGTGACAGTGCAGCTTAGTTGATGGTCCATAAAGTACTGGCAAGAGTCCCACAACATTGTCCACCAATGTCACCTTCTCAACTACTACACTTCCTACAAGATGAAACATTATCCCATAGTCATAGTTTTTGTAAGACAAAAAGCCTATAATTTTAGTGCAGTTTGGAAAGCCATCTCCTTTATATAAATGAACCCCATGAAGGCTTGAATGAGCTACATTGCCATTGTAAAGATCTTCTGCTAAGAAACATTCTTGACCTTTGATATGAAAGGCTATCCGTTCTGAACCTGCCACACTATTATTATGTAGCATAACACTTTCTACTGCATTTGTTTTGATGCCAGCAACCCAGAAATTCGAGGTTTCTGGTTGTTTGCTTAAGACAACAAGATTGCTGATGAGTTTATGATTTTGGCCTTCTAAATGTATACCGTGCCCAATTGTACTGAATATCACATTATCACGTAGCAAGAGCCCACTATTTGTAATGGCTTGAATACCAACTCCACAGCTGTGGTGAATGCTGGAGGAAATTATGAAAGACTTGAAGGATGAATTAGTAATGTCAACTGATGGAGACTGTGAAGATCCAAAGTTCAAAATTTCAACATTTGAAAGTTGAAGCACACCTGCAAGATGGGAGAAAGACACATTTAAGGGGCGGGGTGGGGGGGACAGGATAACCTTCCATATCTTGAAAAATAGAAACAATGGTATTCTATTAACAAAGATATTCTATTGATGCTACTTTAGAAGTTCTTAATTCATAAACCTTTAAGATAATAGTGTTCCAAATTAAAAAAAAAGAAAGCAAATACAGCAACTAAGGTGTTACTCAGTGATCCAGGTTTTATTTTCATTAATACCTATACTTTCCTCACTAATTATTACTATATTATCACACTATTAATCAAATAAAAAATATATTTATAATTCCCACATTCATAAGGTTGTTTTGGGTCAATTGGTGGAAGGAGGCAATGCCAAACTATTTCTGAAAAACCTTCCCAAGAAAACTGCAGGGACTTGTCCAGGCAGTCTCTGAGAATTGGACATGATTGAATGGAAGAAAGAAAAATCACCCACAATGGTAGGTTTGATGTGATAACTATCAAATGAATTCATGTTCCTAAAAATACATGAGAAATCTAAACAATTAAAATATGTTTCTTCTAAACTATAGGGATTGAAAACGATGTGTAAAATAAATATAAATACTTAAGTACCTGCATCTTGGTTTGCATAGCTCCAAGGTCTCACCAGAAGTCTTCCTATGCAATCCATGTCAGATTTAATCTGAATGTTTCTTGTCAGAAGCCCAACCTCTGCAGCCAGGAGAATCCATTGACCATCTTCTAATCTATGGGAATGCCCTGCAGAGATCAAAATGTCAGAAAACAATAGAAGTGGAACAGGTTTAATAAACCAAACATGGGATCTCTACTAATTCTTCCCTTATGAAAAGAGTTCATATATCCAGGCTATGTACAATAGGAGTTCATAATTTATTGCTGTCATTTGGAAAGAGTAATTTACTTTATTATCACTTTTAGCAACATTATTTTCTCCTTATTTCATATAACAATCACTGATGCAGAGAATAACGTATCAGAAGTAGGGAGCATAGTACCTCAGCTGTTTTGTGATCAAATATTTTACAAGCCTAAATCAGTTCGATGGCATCTCAAATTTAAAAGAGGTTAAATGTAAGGTCAGAGTTTATTGCACCTACCTAAAATTTTGCAAGCATTTGTAATTCTAGTAGTATGAGAGAACAGTTAAATACAAAAATAATTGAGACAATTCATTCATTGTATAAATACTGATTGCCCACTTAAATGTCTTAAGAAGCAACACCAGCCCTTAAACTAAGTTGAGAGGCAAAGATACAAAATGGCAATGAGATCGTACCTGCTGGTCCAATATATGTTGATTATAGTTTCTCTAGAGAAACCTAATGTATCTCTGCCCATGGCTTATAATATCTTCTAAAATTATCCAACCATTGTGCCAAAAGAATATAATGGGAACAGATTTTATATCACTTCAGTGATGGCTGGGTTAAACTAGGTGATACTATAAATCACTGAGGATTGCCTACATTTAGAGTCTAGATCAGGGGTGTCAAACTTGATTTCATTGAGGGCCACATCAGGGTTGTGTTTGACCTTGGGGGGGGTACGCATGGCCGGGGTGGGTGTGGCCAGCTTGAAGTCACTCGTGTCGGGGGTGCCTGTGGTGGCCCGAGTGCTCTGCCAGTGAAAACGGGCTCCTGAACTCCATTTTTGGCTGCCATAGCCTCCTGCACAGGGTTGCAGGAGGCTGTGGCAACCAAAAACAGAGCTCGGGAGCCTGTTTTTGCTGGCAGAAGCACCACAGGCCAGTCCTTCGCTGTTTTTTCCAGGGTGGCCCCGTAGGTCAGATCTAAGTACCCATGGGCTGGATCCAGCCCCCGGGCCTTGAGTTTGACACTCCTGGTCTAGATGCACATATTGTAGTCTTCCCTGCAACATTCTGGGTATAACACTGTACATTCATAGCCTCTACATATGAACTTAAAATCAGTTTGTAGTATTTGGGTCAGGACTCCAACCCTTGCCCTTCCAGACACAAATCTCTATTTCAACTGATTGTCTTCATAAGATAACTACCTTATGAATAACTTGTAATTCCCATTTTGTTACTTAATTAAAGCAATGAAAATGTTAAGGCACCCTAGAAAGAAAACACTATTGAACAATGGCAAGTTTGTTGAGGAAAAATAATGAACGTTAGGTAGCCTTTAATGTGCAAAAAAAAATTCATGATATAATCTAAGCACAGGAGACAAATTGCGTACCAATATGTCTATGGAGAAGATGTTCACGGATCCTAATGCTACGATTGTTAACTTTTTCTAAAGTGATTATTTCAGCTTGATGGGCTTCATATGAAGAGGAACTGACAACAATACTGTCCCCCGGATGCCAGTCCAAGTGATCTTGCACCATAAACCTGTATAGAATGTGAGATAAAGACATATTTAGAAGTGTAGCACTCATTTTTCTCCTGGAATAATTAAGAAAAACTGAAATATAATTAAGGAAAATAATGTGTTAACAAATCTGCCTTCACAGTTACCAGCAAGGTAATGAACAAAGTTCTGGAAGACTGAGGAGTTGAAGGCATTGTTTTACAGTGGTTCAGCTCCTTCCATTCTGTGTTGGTGGGGAAGGAAAGGTTGGCTTGGTGGCCTTTGATTTATGGGATGCCAAAGAGGTCAGTCTTGTCTCCCCTGCTTTTCAATATCTACAGTATATAAAGCCTCTGGGAAGATTCATTCAATGGTTTCAGGTGTAGTATCATCAATAGGCTAATGCAGTGGTGAAATCCAATTTTTTTTACTACTGGTTCTGTGGGCGTGGCTTGATGGGCGTGGTGTGGCTTGGTGGGCATGGCAGGGGAAGGATACTGCAAAAACTCCATTCCCACCCCACTCCAGGGGAAGGATACTGCAAAATCTCCATTCCCTCCCACTCCTGGGGGAAGGATATTGCAAAATCTCCATTTCTGCCCCACTCTGGGGCCAGACAGAGGTGGTATTTTCCGGTTCTCTGAACTACTCAAAATTTCCGCTACCGGTTCTCCAGAACCTGTCAGAACCTGTTGGATTTCACCCCTGGGCTAATGACATCCAACTGGACATTGCCACCCTGAGCTATAGAGAAGATGATGTTGATTCTGTTTCCCAGTGCCTGGATCCTGTCAGTTTTGATAAGAGAGAAAAAACATCAAAATGGAATCTTGAAAAGCTGAAATTTCTACAAATGCACCAAGGTCTTCTATCACCACCAAAAGTTACTCGTGTATGGGTAAACAGGGAGCAAGTCTCTGACGTAGGTGTCCTTCTGGCTTCTGTTGGATCAGCAGGTAGAAATGTGGTCAGAAAGGCGTATGCCCAACTGGTGAGTATGCCAGATCTGGCCTCATCTGTGGTCAGAGGACTTGGAGGTATGACCAACAGCAACTCATGTTCTTATTATCAGCCATCTAGACTACTGAAATGCCCTCTACTTGGGCCTGCCCTTAAATAATGTTTAGAAACTGCAGTTGGTTCAAAATGCAGCAGTCTGTGTACCTGATGTCGAGAGTGCAGACCGTTAGTTTTGTGGACCCTGCATTGGTTGTCATTTGTTTTCCAGGTCCAATTTAAGATGCTGATTTTGACCCATCAAATTCTTTTCTTTCGTGGAAACTTTCTTTGTGGAAACTTTCAGGACTTTCTCTGGCCAACTTCTGCTCATCTAATTTAATCAAGCAGGAGAAACCTCTGCACATCCCACATTTTCAAATAATTTGTGGGGCTGAAGCAAGGGGAAATTGCTTGTTTGTTGTACCTCCCTATGGAAATCAAACTGGCTCTTTCTCTACTGGTTTTCTGCAAACTCCTAAACATGTTTTCAGAGAGCTTTTTCAGAGAGCCTTTTACTGATTTGAATTCTTGTTGCCATCTTTTTGTAGCTTTACTGTAGCTTTCATTTGTATATGGTTTTATATTATATTATATTTTTATGTGTGTGCCATCAAAAGTTGTTTTTAATGTGGTGACATAAAAATAAGTTTAATTCAGAATCATTTTGAAATGTTGCCAGAAAGGTCCTACCATGTCCTGATTTTTTTATTTTTTATTTTAATTATATTTATATACCGCCCTTCTCCCGAAGGACTCAGGGCAGTGAACAGCCAAGATGAGACATAAATATAAAAATTAAAAACAATTTAAAACCAGATTAAATACTTTGGCCCACAGTTAAAAACATCCCATTAAAATCCAATTTAAAATTTAAAACCGTTAAAATTAGGCTAGCCCGGCTTGCTGGAATAACAAAGTCTTCAGGGCACGGTGGAAGGTGTGCAAGTCCGGGATCCTCCGTACCTCCGGGGGCAGCTCGTTCCAGAGGGCAGGAGCCCCCACTGAGAAGGCTCTCCCCTGGGGGATCGCCAGTCGACATTGTCTGACCGACGGCATCCTGAGGAACCCCACCCTGTGGGAGCATACTGGCAGGTGGGAGGCTGTCGGTAGCAGAAGGTGGTCCCGTAAGTACCCAGGTCCTAAACCATGGAGCGCTTTCAAGTTGTTAACCAACACCTTGAATCGCATCCGGAAGACCACTGGGAGTCAATGCAGTTCACACAGGAGAGGAGTTACATGGGAGCGCCCTGCTGCTCCTATAATTACCCACGCGGCCACATTTTGGACTAGCTGGAGCCTCCAGATGCTCTTCAAGGGGAGCCCCATGTAGAGAGCATTGCAGTAGTCCAGTCGGAAAGTGATGAGGGCATGAGTGACCATGCGCAGGGAGTCCCGATCCAGAAAGGGACGCAACTGGCAGATCAGGTGAACCTGATAAAAAGCCCCCCTGGCCATGGCCATCATATGCTCTTCTAAAGACAGCCGCGCATCCAGGAGGACACCCAAGTTGCGAGCCCTCTCCGTTGGGGCCAATGACTCGCCCCCAATAGCCAGCGATGGCACCAGCTGGCTATATCGGGACGCCGGAAGCCACAGCCACTCAGTCTTGGAGGGGTTGAGTTGGAGTCTGTTTCTCCCCATCCAGACCCGCACGGCCTCCAGGCACCGGGACATCACTTCAAGGGCATCATTGGGGTGGTCTGGGGTGGAGATGTACAGCTGAGTGTCATCAGTGTACTGATGGAACTGCACCCCAAAACCACAGATCTCACCCAGCGGCTTCACATAAATGTTGAACAGAAGGGGCGAGAGGACCAACCCCGTGGCACCCCCCACATAAGGTGCCTCGAGGATGACCTCTGCCCCCCTGCCAACACAAACCGGTCAGAGAGAAAGGAGGAGAACCACTGTAATACGGTGCCCCCAACCCCCAGCTTCAGCCAGTGCAGCATGATACCATGGTCGATGGTATCAAAAGCCACTGAGAGATCTAATAGGACCAGGACAGAGGAACAACCCCTGTCCCGAGCCCTCCAGAAATCATCAATCAATGCAACCAATGCTGTTTCCGTGCTGTACCCAGGCCTGAAACCGGACTGGAACGGGTCTAGATAGACAGCGTCATCCAGGTGCCTGGGAAGCTGTTGCGCAACCACACTCTCAACAACCTTCGACACAAAGCAAATGTTGGAGACTGGACGGTAATTCGCCAAAACAGCCAGATCCAGAGAAGGCTTCTTGAGGAGGGGCCTCACCACCACCTCTTTCAAGGTGGGAGGCAAGAAACCCTCACTCAATGAAGCATTAATGATCCTCTGGAGCCAGCCTCGTATAACCTCCCGGGAAGCCAGCACCAACCAGAAGGGACACGGGTCCAATAAACATGTGGCTATGCTAAGCCTCCCCAGAATCCTGTCCATGTCCTCGGGAGCCACAGAGTCAAACTCCTCCCAGATAATATTCTCAGGACCCGCCTCCATCATCCCATCTGGATCCACCCAGTCAGAGTCCAAGCCTTCCCGAATTTGAGCAATTTTGTCATGCAGCAAAATCCTCAGCTCGACTCTGCAAGGGCTTCCCGTGCTCCCAGATGGCCGCAAAGGCACGACACGGTCCAAAGCCCCAGCGGCCGCCCTATCCCAGGCGGCCACCAGGTCTTCAGTCGGGCCGTGAGCCAGAGCCCCAGGGAATGGCCCAAGCTCCATCTGGAATCTGTCAGGATCCATCAGGTGGAACTACCTAATTGGTTCTGCCTCCCTGTGGCGGGGTGTAACGGTTAGAAAGTCAAGCCAGAGGAGAGAATGATCTGACCATGACAAGGGCTCAATAACTATATCCCCTATATCTAGATCATTCACCCACTGACCAGAGACAAAAACCAAGTCCAAGATGTGTCCCCCCGTGTAAGTAGGGCCATGAACTAACTGGGTCAGGTCCATGGCCGTCATGGAAGCCATGAACTCCCGAGCTGCCTCAGATGTTTCCCCGATGGATGGCAAATTGAAGTCCCCCATGACCAAGAGCCTGGGGGTATCAACCGCCACCCCTGCAGTAACATTGAGCAGTTCGGGCAGGGCCGCCTTCACGCGGCAGGGAGCCAGGTACGCAATCAGCAGGCCCATCTGTGCCCTATGACCCCACTTCACAAACAGGGACTCACACCCAGCTATCTGAGGTACATCACTGTACCTCAGAATTTACTCTTGAAAAAAAAGGGGGGGGCTTCAAAAAGAAACAAAAAGTAAAAATAAAAAAGAGCTTCCTTATTACCTATAATTTAATACCTACCTTTCATTTCCAGGTGCAACATCATTTCCAAGATGTGTCCATGACTTCTTGGTGTAAGCACTGTGCAACTGCAACTTCCCAAAAACACCTTGAAAAAAGGAGAAGAAACTAGCCATGATTCAAAAGATGCTAATCCTTGCAAGATCTTCAACATGCTAGGAAGGACTTCTCAGTTGTGCCAGAGATGTACTCATCCAAGCCATTTTGTACTGATGGAGATTGTTTGGACATTTCATAAAGTTTCCAAGGCACTTTCCTTAAAGATTACATTAGGAAGATTCCAACTCTAGCAAAAGGGTGAACTGGCTTTCTGGATTCCTGTATGATCCATATGCTCAGCAAGATCATACCAACATTAGAATAGGAAAATGACGAGTTACTTGTGGGACTAAATACCTTGAAAAAGATAGCATAACTAGAAAAAAAATGTAATAGAAAAAATGGAAAGGGGGGGGTATTTCCTATTTCAAATGAAAGCCTGTTTGATACATTGATAAGCAAACTCTTTGATGCTGAGGGTAGCAAATAGTGCAGGGTGAGGGATTGGAGCTTGTGGATATGCATATCCACAAAGCCTCCATCAGAAGTACCTAATTTACAAGCGAGGTGCATGATCAGAATACCGATTATAACTCTGTTTCAATCCTTTTCCTGCATGTTTATGGGGAAGAGATCTCTTGTAGGAATGTAAATTAATCTGCCTTCCATGCTTCCACAGTGGTCTAAAGTCTCTTCCTAAATACACATATAAACTTCTCCCAACATATACAAATACACAGTCTCCCTGTCCTCTTCCCCCATCTTTCTCAACAGCATTCAATTTGTTGTGTAAATTCATCTGAGGACAGAATATATGCCTTAAACACCCTATTCTTCCAAAAGCTACTAACAATCTACCAAACAACTGATGGGCAGGTTGTTGTGAGATATACCCACACCCCACACTCAAAGAAGCATCAGAAGATTAGAAATCAGAACGGGCACAAATATATTGTGGGCTGCAGGAAAAAATGCTTAAATGTTTTTATGTTGCTTCAGGTTATCCACTTTTGACTCAGTAATTAAAATGCAGACACTATTTAACAAAACAGACAATTGTTGATTGATGCTAAGCATAAGACATTTTCGATCAAGGTTTTCCCAGGCCCCACTGAGGAATTCAGAAGATGATATCCATACCAATGGTTCCAGCACCAACGTTCAAACCATTCAATCGATCACAATTTACTCTCTCAGATGCCCGAAGGAGAATGTGTACCTTTCTCCTTTCTTCTAATGGATACTGCAGTGTGCCTAATGGGAAATTGATGAACATTAATTAATTTGTACGATACATTGGTTTCTCCCCTTTTACATATTAAACATTTATCCAAGACGACTTACATAAAAGTATGAATACATATACATGTAAATAAGAGCCAAATAAAATAAAAGCATAAATATTAACATTGCAGTACTCAAACATTACAAAATGCATAGCAAGAACAAGCTAAACCAAGTGCAACAATAATATTAACATGCATGTTCCTTCTACTTCCAGCAAGCAATTAATTGTGAAAGGCCTGCCCAAGTACATGTGACTTTCAGTGCCCTTCTTACTGTTAAAATCAAGTTAAATCAACGTTCCCCAGTGAAAACATTTGAGCACATAACAGAATTAATAATATCTCAACAGTGAATTAATTTGCCAAAAGAAATGTCAGTGAAGCAAAAAAAAAAAATCATGCTTCTTTTTTTACATACTAAAGCTAAAAAGCACCAGGTTTTACAATAATACCAAGCATTTATTCTACTGTAGAATAGAATTTATCCTATACAGAGTTCATTTAGAATCTCAGAAACAATTTTTTTTTTTCCATAGCAGAGACACATTTTTTTCCAGCTCTTATTTTATGGGATTTTGATTTTGTGATTTTGTCTATGTCCTATTCTAAATCAAATAAGCTCTGGAACTTGCATAACTCACCAGATTTCACTATGGTTTTTTTAATGTATGCTATAAAATTTTACCATTGTTCCCTCCCACAAGGTCAAGTTTATCATATTCATCCAAGGAAGCTGTAACAATTCTCGTGTGATCTCAGTTATATGACGAGCACTGGCATTGCATGCTCATAACAGTGGCTGAAGACGGGTAAAGGCAATCCTGTTTTTCCTTAACCAGAATAATCCAGTTAACCAGGAGAAAGATAAACAGGGTAGGAGAAGGAAGAAAAGCTGTAGAAAATACAATTCTTGTCCAGTAGAAAGCAAAGACAATGGGTTGAAACTTTCTCTTCAGAGAGGATAATCTTTCTTTAAAAAAAAATCTTTGAATCTTTCCTTTCAGAACAGATAATAATTCTTTCTTAATTACTCTGGCTGTTCTGGCACAGATATTTGTTTTGCTTAATAATTTCAGTTTTCCCAAATTTGTTTTAGAGTTTCTTTTCTTTTTTTTCAGTAGGGGAAGTGTGAAACAGAACTAGTTTAGTAGAGAAAAAAATAGTTAATCTCAAAAATATTTGGCATTTTTCATATATATATTTGTACTAGTGTTCAATTAACATTTTGGAAGAATCACATCTCTTTCAGAGACACAACATCTAAAACCTAAGTGAATTTTTCTGATGATATTGGAAACACAAGAAGAGAATAAAAAAGGCAACAAAGAGAGGATGGAAATAACTCTTATCTCTTAGAATGCAAAGTGAGCTGTATTCCAACTGTGAACCTATTTATTTCACCCAGGGTAGTTTACAGACTCAGAAGAAAATAGTCTAGCATGAAGCAGATACTTGAAGGAAAAAGTAGGGCAACTTCTGCCCTAGAGAAATGTAAGCAGAGTCCAGTAAGAGAATTCAACACTCCTTTAAAATTAGAGATTAAATCAATTATAGAACCCCAAACTGCAGCAGATGTAGAATTAAACAAAGAAATCTGTGTAGAATTATCCATCCTGCCACAATAATTTAATATTCAGAAAACATGCCTTTGGTGAGGAAAAGAGAAAGTGTAATATGCATCCACAAGAATTAATCTTAGCAACCCATTTAATGAAGTGTCTATGAAAATTAATCTTCTTAGAGATACAACTAATCTTGATCCAAAATCAGGCAAATGATTTACACAAAGAGACTTAGAAGGACCACCCTGTTCAATCTGGAGGCCAATTCAGGCATCTGGAAATAGCTTGATTTACTCCAGGCTGCTCTGGAGCTGGTCTGATCAGTCACAGAATCATCATCATCATTATCATTATGAAAAGCAGAACTATGTTATCTCTAAAAGAAGTTCCTTGCTGCATTCAAGAAGATCTTGTCACCTTTAGGGGCATGTCTTTCTCTTTTACTTTTTTTTTTTTTTATCAAAGACCATAGCCAGAGCGAGGGACTAAGGGGCAGCCAGACCTCCTTCTTCAGCTCTCTGTCCATAATTTCTGTTGGGTCAACTCCACTACATAACAGGATAGGGCCTATGCTGTTTTCCAGAGAGGTGCAGTAGGACCATGTTTTCTGTCTCTTGACTAACCAGGCCATAATATTTCAAAACTCCCAGCAAATTGTAATGTTTTCTATCTGATAAAAGAACTGAATCCATGACTCAGTGGCTTTCCTTGATTTGGTTCTATGTTCCCCAATCAAGAATTAAAAGGAACTTTTCCCATCATTTCACTACCAATCCAAAGCATTGAAATTGAGGAAACGGATACTGATCTAATCATAAAGCTCATTTATAAATTATGAAATCCATTCCCGCTCTTCCTCCTTCTCCTACCATTGTATTTTGTAAGATTTTTTTTTTTGAAAGATGGAGGATACCCTTATTTAAACTGCCAGCTGTAGTCTTCTCCATGGTCAAAAAACACACACCTGTCTCCTTACTAAATCATAGAAATATTGCCTGGAAAGAAAATCTGTCAATTTTTCTCCCCTACCTAGAGATATATGGGCTTTAAATGGAAAATATAACCCTATCCCAATCAGCACAGCAAATCTTGCTAAAGAAAACTCTGGGACTCATGGTACAAAAATATTGATTTGTTTGTTTCTTTGTTTGTTGTTGTTGTTTTGGTTTAGGCAGCTGCCAAGTATCTTGAAATATTTTATAGCCGTACTGATATATATTGTTTTTAGATAGTTGTTGTGGCACTAGCATCTGCAGCACTTGAACAATGGATTGAGAAATAGAATTTCATGGAATATTTTGAATCAAGACAATTCATTGCATAACAATTTGTTCCAATTATTCAGCATGCTTCAGGATTCAAAATTCAGCTAGGTCCAAAGCATAGCTCCATCCTAATAAATAGTGATATCAGCATATGTTTTATAAACAAGAAACTGTCAAATAAGCCTGCTCCCAAAGCCCAGTTTTCCATGATTTCAGAATCACAACACCTCAATTTGCAGATACATAGTTTATGACATAGCTTTAATAACATTATTTTTAAAAGTGATAACGATAGAAAGCGGAAATTCAAAATATATGGAGGTTCCTTTTATGCCAATTGATGACTTCATGTCATCAAATTGTTGGTGACTCTTGGTGACCATATTGATAGATTTTCTCTATGATGATCTGTCTCTAAGCTGCTCCTTCAGCTCTTTCAATGGTGCACCCATTACCACTGTAACGGAGTCCATTCACAAAGCTACTTGGTGATCTTTTTCTTTCTAACTTTCCCAGTATTAGAGCCTTTTCCAAACAACCAGGTCTTCACATAATGTGCCTGAATTATGATAATTTGAGCTTGCTGATTTGCAAATGGAGTGAGAACTCTTGATTGATTTATTCGATGATCCATTCATTTGTTTTCTTGTAATGAGACAAGGTATATCCTCTTAATGCATTGATGCTTTTGAATGTTGGATGTTGTGGAAGACTCCTGAGAATACCATGGATAGTCAAGAAAACAAACAAATGGATCACAGAACCAATAAATCCAGAGTCACAAATGACCAGGCTCAAATTATTTCACTTGGCCTTGAGGAGAGTGGGTCAGTTTTGAAAACAGTTGACCTTCTCACAAAATTCTTCAGGACATTGGAATAAGCCTCTTTTGTCAACTTAATATAGGAAATGTATCCAGGTCATTCTCATGTTTTGTTATTTGTATATCCCTTTTAATTTGCTGTTATCAAACATTATCTGCCCGGCCTACAAAAGAGATACCACTCTTGGTTTTTTTACAACATGTTCGCATTTTCACTTTTTAAAGGTAGATTCAGCAATGTTCCTGCATATGAAAAACTCCTTTGCCTAAAGAAAAATAATCTCTCTTGCTCCCTCTCTCACACTCTCTCCTGCCCTTGCCCCTGCCCCTGCTAAACCACATGGGGAGCCAGATTAATAATACCTTCCATAAGCAGTTCTTACACTAGCTGACAGGTCATCAGATTATCTTCAGAATAATAGCTAAATTCGTTGCAATATCCCTTATTATCAGACCTTCAAACTGTTAAAAGTTACCTTTTAATATATCTTTTTCTAAGTGTTTGCTTAATGTAGCATTTCTCAAATTTGGCAACTTTAAGTTGTGTGGACTTCAAGTCTCAGAATTCTAGTAGAAGTCCACATATCTTAAAGCTGTCAGGTTTGAGAAACAATGAGTTTCAATGAGTCTGTTGTCTTCTGGTAGGTTTGTTCCAATCTCTGAAATAAATGTGCAAATATGCATGCATGTGCAGTAATATATTTGAGCAATATGTATATATGTGTTTGAATATACATGTATACACACATATACAGGGAACTGAGTCACAAGGAATGTTTTTAATTTAGGATTTATCTTTTCTCCCAGACAAATGCTGTCTTCCAGATTCTAATGTGTTCCATCATCCTAGAGTCAATGGGAGGTGGGGGAGAGTAATACTAATATACCCATTGCTTTAGTTCAGCCATGGACTCAATTGTATCAGAGTTAAAACACTTGCAGTGTTTTATTCCTGGCTAAACAGTCTAGCAGTATTGCACAATTCTAATCGACCACTGCACTGCGGTATCCAGTATTTCAGAGAGATAACAGCCAACTGGCAGTCCATAAAGCTAACTAGGGACCAAAGGGAAAATGACTAAAAAGCTACCATATTCCCTGATCCCAGGCACTATTGGGTCATCTCCAGTACAACGTGTGCTGAAGCACACAGATTTTATACAACTAGCAGCTGCCCTCTGGATGCTGTTGGTTTAAAACAGAGAACACTTTTTGAAGAGTAATACTCTTCAACAGACTAGCTCATTCATATATATTGTGACTCTATAGTCAACCCTGAAACAATCCAGAACAAAACAAAGAATTGAACCTGGAAGATGATCTATCTATCTATCTATCTATCTATCTATCTATCTATCTATCTATCTATCTATCTATCTATCTATCTATCCCTTTCTCTCTCTCTCTCTCTCTCCCTCCCTCCCGTCCTCTCTCTCTTTCTCTGAGTCTATAATCTTCCTCTCAATCTATCCTATCATTAAATTTTATGTCTCTTACTGTTAACTATTATGTTTCTTACTGTAAACTGCCAGAAAGTGAGGCATGTTATAAACTTTTCTCAGTAAGACATGCTTTTAATAGTTTGTTAAAATTTAGATATTTCCGGGTTTTACAAGTTGATTCTGTAAAAACTGTTTCCACTTTGCACTACTAATATGTACTGTGTCCAGTCCAATAAAAATGGGTTATAAAAACATATTTCTGGATTCCCAGATATGTGAAATAATTTATGTACATCTCTCATCTAGCATTTTTGAGAGAAGAACTATTGCTGCTCTAAACAAATGTCCTAGAAGTTCTTAGAATCTGAACTATGTTTACTAATTATGCATCTTTTTAATTTTTTAATGAACAAAGTTTCTTTGCTACCTCATTAAGAAGTCCTGTTAAATTATTACCTCATTATAAGGTAAAATAAATAAATAGATAAATAATAAAAAGTAAAAACAAAAGTTGAACATTAGCAACTACAAAGTTGCAAGATGTATTTCTTGAATTCACTTTATAGTATTAATGAAACGACAATTTTTACAGTTGAAAAAATGATGGTTAGGATGTGTTAGAATTATAGATTTCTATTGCAAGAATAATCTGACTTTTAAATTTTAAATGTAATAAGCTATAAATAATAGTACCATAAATTGTAAATACTAATAGGTATTAGTCTGAAGTTAAATATGGTAATCCATGCTACAACAAATAGCTCTTCTGGAATGCTACTGTTTAAACATTCCAGTTACAGTGATTTGTATTCTATCTACCTATGACAAGTACGTCCTATGCCTTGATTCTTGACATATTAATAAGAAATACACCGTAACACATCCATGGCAGATCTAGAGTGGGTTGAATGATAGCTATATACAGTAGCTTGAATATGTCATTTCACAGTTATAGAGATAGCCAAAGACTGCTATCTACTTTATAAGATACAGTAAGTGAAGAGATGGAACAGGCAGTACTCAAGCTGTTGTTGTTGTGGCCCTTTGGTTGGGTACCTTTCCCATAACAGCTGCTCAAGATTTCTTTCAACCAAAATAGATTAGTTTTTTAAAGTCCAGGAATGTTATCTTTCTGGAAATCTTTCAATAGCTTTGTTTCCAGTTCTTCCTATAATAGTAATTTCCTTCATTTCCTCTTCCCAAACAGAGCCATGAAAGTAGACCCTCTCATCTAGTTTTCCCCTCCCTGTCTTGATCGATTTCAGAGCCATTCTCTCTCCATTTTTTTTAATTGCCAAATGCTTCGAATTCCTAAACTGACTATTTTGCTCATTTTTCATGAATCCCTATATTCTACTCCACCCTGAGATAATCTGAATGATAATCTTCAAGTAATTCAGTTCTAAAATTCTGCACTGATTCCACTGACATGCGGCTTTCTTTCTTCTGGGTCACATGCAAAATTCATCCCATTTTGCCAAGAAACCAATAAAGAGTAAGTGTTCATGTGCTTCCTTCTGTGTTAATCTGTTGGGAAACACAGCCCCTGTAATAAATCCCTTCTGGACCCAAGCAGCTTTAAAATTTATAAAGTGAGTGCTGTCTCCATCTACTCTTGGATCTTAGCTGAGAAATTCTCCAAGGCTTTTAATTAAAACCGGGGAGGTTGGGATGGCAAGTTTCAAAACTATCTCTGAGTCAAAGGAAAGGACCGACCCCATTTTACTAATTACCAAGCCTGCTTTAATTCTTATACAGTACAATTAGAAGGGACCATTTAGGCCACGGAAGCCAACCTCTGTGCAGGAATCCAAATTAAAGCATCCTAGACAGATGATTGTCCAGTCTCTGCTTGAACACATCTAATTAAGAAGAGCTCACCAAGCTCTCTGACCCGATGATTCCACTGTCAAACTGCTCTTCTTGTTAGAAGACGTTTTTTAAACATCAAATTAGAATCTACTTCCTGTAATTCCAATTATAATGTTCATTCTAGAAAGAGAGAGAACTGGCCTTGACCCTCTATGTGACATCTTCCCAATTATTTGAAGAGTGGTGTTATGTTCCTCCCACATCTTCATTTTTTTTGATCCTCAAGGCCAAACATCCTTCCCTATTTCTGTAGAGTTCTTACTTTCTTGTTCCCTGAGCAACTTCATTACCTTTCTATGAACGTGTTCAGTTTCTTTGAATCTTTTGGAAACTATACTTTTCAGGTGGCATTTCCTTTGTTTGTATCTCTGCTACACTTTTGTGATGGTATTTGGAAATTACCTTGGAGGTACCTTGGAGGAAGAGCTAGATAACAGTCTGATAAACAAAATTAATTTGAGTCCAAAGGAAGAGAGGTAGCAAAAATGCTCAGGAGGGACACTCCCTCCCTTTTGGGAGAGTAAAAGTGAAGGATGGCAGGGGTACTTTCAGACTTGAAAGATTGATGTTGGCCTTGCAAAGTAGTCCAGACAAGAACAACCAGGAGTATTAGGTCTATCTTTACTGTAAGATTACTTTTACTTTTTTACTTTTATTATATTTATATACTGCCCTTCTCCCGAAGGATTCAGGGCAGTGAACAGCCATGGTAAAAAACAGTATACAAGACAAAAAATTAACATTAACATTAACATTAACATAATCTTGCACGCCTGGAAGTACCCCGTCATTTCTCACTTTTATTTTCCCCAAAACACAGGATGATCCTTTCATCACCTCTCCTTTGGACTCAAATTTGGTTCATTAGACCATTGTCTAGGTGCAGCTTTTCCTCCTGTCCCCCAAGATCATTCCCATATACCATTACAACTTTATATTTCCCTCTGCTAAATATTTATTTGTTATTTTCAACCTGCTTCTTTAAACTATGAAGATAAATTTGAATCGTATTTCTGTAGTTTAAGATCCTAATTATACTGTTTTTATATCATCTGCCAATTTGATGAGCTTCAATACCATGTCTTAACCAGATCACTAATACAAAAAGTTGAAGACTGACAACGCCGTGTATATTTAAATGCTAAGGATAATTTAGGTCAGTATTAGTATTATGCAAATTAAAGTCAGTTCAATTTCAGGATAAAAAAGGATATGAATCCCTTTTAAGTAGTGAACACATTTGGAATGTGAATAAAGAGTTGCAAGCATCACCACAAAGTAACTGCTCTATGACCTTAGCTAATCACAAAAGGATTGTGATGGGGTAGGGACTACTAATCATAAAATATTTGAAGTTCCACATCAGGAGCTTTACTGCTCCATGCCTTAATAGTTTTATGAATGGATTACTGCAATACACTTGATGCAGAGCTACTCCTGAAGATGGTCCAGCAGCTGCCTGATTGTTAAGGAAGGTGGCTAAATCAGTTCATGTCACAGCAGTGCTTAAAATCCTGCACTGAACTATCAAACCCAATTCAAGGTGTTGAGAAAGGATTTTCTGGGCCTAACTCAATATAGGCTCTATTGCACCCCTTATCTACTGGGGGGAAAAATATCAGGTTTTCTGCTCAGTGTGAAACAGCCTTTGATTGCATTCCAATGAGCATTTATCTGGAATAGATTCCACTTCGACTAGAACAGACCCCTTTTGTGCTACAGTACGCCCAGCGTATTGCAAGAGCTTAATAAATGTTAGATAGCACGAGAACCAATTTATGATGTTATTCTTCTTTCTAGATTTCATCATTTGCCCTTAGCATATACCGTATACCTCAACATAGCTTTGTCATGCCTGAGGCTAATTAGACTTGGTTCTCTTTTTTAAAAAATAAATAAATAAAAGATACAACATGCAGCATCTCTTCCAGCTATTATTATTTTTCACTTACCCACTTTCAAGACACCACCAGCAGCAATCACAATACAGGTCACGCTCAGGAGATGGCTGGTGTTTAATGAGAATTCCAATGTGCCCTGGATATAAAGACCTCGTAGGGGTGGAAGATTCATATCCACCAAGACAGTTCTGTCTTAGAAAGAAGGAAATGATGCAGAGCATTACTTTGGTTAATATATTGCTTTTTAAAAAAAAAGTAGCCTCCTTTTTGCATCCTTTTATAAGATTTTAAATTGAACAATAAGACTAGGACTATTACTATGAATTATTTAAGTGAATTTCTGCTCCCCATCAAATTAGATCTGAATTGGGGGAAAAGTTTACACAGTACAGAGAATTAATAAGATATGTCAAAATTTTCAAACCTTCTAATAAACAGCACACTTACGGTACTTAATATATGTGATATAATTGAGATTGAAAAAAATATATTTCTTTTTTGCATTTATACTTTACATTTGCTTTTCTCCTCACTTTATCCTCAAAGGTACAACACTGAATTAGCTTGGGTAGAGAGAGAACAACTGGCCCCAGTGGATCTCCCCGGCCATATAACAATCGACTTGTATGAACGACATATATTCCTCCATGCACCCATACAGCAATCAGGCACATATTAATACTTCGCTTTGGGAACGCTGAGAGAGAGATGGGAAGAAACTATGGTCATTTCTGGGCTGGGGGCTAAGGTTGGCCATTGGAAAGCAAGTAAGCAGGATGGAAAACAACAAGGAGGACAGGACTATGGAGGAGGAAAAGAACCTGTTGTTGGGAAAGATTGAAGGCAAAAGGAGAAGGCAAAAGGGATGGCAGAAGATGAGATGGTTAGATAATGTCATCAATGCAATGAACATGAATTTGGGAAAACTCCAAGAGACAGTGGAGGATAGAGGGGTCTGGTGTGCTAAAGTCAATGGGATCATGAAGAGTTGGACATAACTTAGGGACTGAACAAGAACAAGGGACTGAACAAGAATGGAGGAGGAGAATGATGGTAGGATACAGTAGCAGGGAGTCAGGCTAAACTGGGAAGAAAGAAAAGATTGAAGGGAAAGAAGCAAAGAATGACTTCAAAGAGCAGGCATATTGAAGAAAAGGAATGAGGAGAATGAAGAAGTGGTATTCAAACATGGAAAGAGCAAGAATTGATACATATCCGGCTGTTCAGGCAATCCCTGACTTTTTCCTTTTCTCAGATAGGGCATTCAGAGTTTGAACTGGACTCTTCTAGAAACTACTAGACATATGGTAACTCTAATTAAAACTCTGTATTATAAAGGCCTGGTGTTCTGAATGTTTTGGGTTGCATCCAATACTAGCCATCTGTCAATGCAATGGCATCCATAAGAAGAATGGATTACCCTCCCTGTACAGTCCCTAAAAAATCACCTCCAAAGGTGATTCAGGCTGCAAAGGACAGAGAGGAGCTCAATAAGAAATCTTTATCTCAGCAAAAAATGACATACAGTTCAGAAATATAATTAAAACTGGAGCGTTTTTAGTGAAATGTTGAAGTGACAAGATACAGTTCATAAAATATAATAGTATAAAATGATTAATACCTGCTAAACTATGTGTTAAAACAAATCATAGATTTAGCATTAGTTTAGATTAAACATAAAAAAAAAAAGTTTTATTACAACAAAAGGCCAGCCTTAGTGATACCAAGAAATGACGTTAACATAGTCATCTCTTATTAAAGAATCCAGCCATATACTCCAATGAAAAAGAGAGGAATTTTCAGAAAATGTCCTTTCCCTCAGCTCATGGGTAAGTATTATTATTTATGTTGATCTTAAAAATGAAAAACCTTCAGGATTGAAATGTTGTCAGATGTGTCTCCTATAAACTGGATTATAACGGACTTTTATTTATCTCTGGTACCATGCTTTGCATTAAATTGTTATTTGCTTTAGACTCTTTTAAAATCTTAATTACTCAAATGGGAAATGTAAGCTATTCAGAGTAGGTTTTAATTTGAGCAACATGTAAACATTGTAAATAAGTAAATAAAACAACAGCCATCTCCAGTTTGGTTGGGGCAGGTGGTATTTGGCAGAGAGGTGTTTTTAAGAAGAACATTCTAATGGAAAATGAGAATTAAAACAAAAGCATTTTGTTGCTATCTTTTTACTGGTTCTCATATGGAAGAGTGAGAAGACTTTTGACCCCCAGTATAGACAGATTAAACCAACCAAGGCAGAGAAGAGGAACAGATTTAAAACCAATGTTCATCAACACTATTCAGAGGCAAGCTATGTTCTACTAGTATTTAACCTTTCCAGAAGTCCTCCAATATGTAATGTCATTCACTGATTTTTGGAAGCTTTGTTTTAAAAATGTTCATTTATGTTTCTCAGTAGCTCTACTGTTTAAATACCATGATCATGGTCTTAAAATATAAATAAATAAAATAATACATAATAAATATTTAAAATGAGGAAAAGTGGTGAATCAATAGGATCTTTCAGTCTGCTTTCCAGGAATGAGTGCATGAGTGTGCCAAACCAATTATTCCACAGAGGGGCAAACATTTTGTAGAAATTCTCTACAAGGTAAGATAGATAGAAAACAATTTTAGCTTCAAATCCTGGGATAGCAGAATTTATTAGAATTCTTTTCCAAAATGAATATAAGTAAAGGGTTTTTTATAATTTAAAAAAGTACATGCCAAGATATTTAATTATGTTTTTAACGAAGAGAAGCGCAAGATTCTAATTCTGATAAAGGCAAAAATCATATGAAGATAATTAGTTACTAACTACTCATGTTGGAGACAATCCCCAAAATTGGTAGTACAGGGGTTTAAGGCACCCTGTGATTAAGCTGGTTATTAAGACCAGCTGCCTGCAATTACTGCAGGGTTCGAATCTCGCCAAGGCTCAAGGTTGACTCAGCCTTCCATCCTTTCTAAGGTAGGTGAAATGAGGACCCAGTTTGTGGGGGCAATAAGCTGACTTTGTATAAATATACAAAAGGATGAAGGCTATTGCTGAGCACATTGTAAGCCGCCCTGAGTCTTCGGAGAAGGGCGGCATATAAATCAAATTAAATAAAAAAAAATCATGAGGCCTTGTCTTTCTAATGGGATGAAATAATGGGATGTTGCAAATGTGATTCCACCTCCTGGGAATCAAGGAGATAAACATTGTATTTCTTTATGTAGAAACAAGGCACAGAACCTGAAAAATCTCTCTGTATTCCTCTGTATCAAATAGAAGTCTGTGTTACACCTGAGGAAACTATGTGAGAATTCTATGTGATAGTAAAAGCACTGAGGGAAAGTTAAACCAATCAGCCATCAGATTTCTTATTTCACATGGAAACGTCCAACAGTCTGCTGCTGAAGGGATGGGATAGACATTCCTCCCCAATTATTTATAAATTCCACCCTCCTCCTGAAAAAGTATGGATACAGTCCTTCAGTTGACCTTTTCATCTGATATCTCAGTTCCTGAAATAGATGGAAAATTAAAGGGTGACATTTTTAGCCTGGCTCTAATTCTCAGACTCCAGACTGGCCGTGTCCATGGGGGCTTCTCAGCGCTGACATGCTTTGAGGACTTTTTCCAGCTCTGTCTGGTGGCTTTATTCTTTGGCTCTGATTCCCTGAATCTATGCTGGTACAGTTGCCTGCAGTTCTGACCTGACAAAACCGCAGTGGAATATCTATTCCAGGGAGTTAAAGGCAGTCATCAATTCATTGCCGCAGCTCACTGCCTGAAGATGGAGTGGAGCTCTGAGACTCTGAGTTTGCAAGGTTTTTCTTCAAGTCTCTTGTCCAATCAGTTTTAAAGATGTAACAGTCACCAAGAAAAGCTAGGAAAGTATATGGAGAGTATGTATGGAGATCTCAATAAATAACTGTTAACAGTCAGAGAAGTAAAGAAGGAACACACACCAATATTTACACCTACAGACCAGAAGATAATTTTTTACAGTTCAAGACTTAGAATACTACCAACACCCATACATTCAAAAGATCATTATTTCAAGGGCTTTTCTAAAAAGAATTTATCTTTTCCTGCTATTAGCAACAAAGAAAAGAAACGAAGTGGAAAAGCATTAACTCTACCTTCTTATACCATGCTAAGGACAAAAATGCATGTACATCCAAGCAGAGGATGAGAAAATGAAGTAACTATTCTTCCATTCAGACCTACCTCCAATCTCAGTACAGTTTATACCTTTATAATCCAGTATTTGTGTACATGCTCAAATGCATTTTAAAAAGACAAAACAAATGGCTGCATTATAGGAGATGGTGCTGCTAGCAACCTGTAAATGATTTTTCCTGTCATCTCTATGGATGATGAAATGGCTTTAGCAAAAGAAAAATGCATCTCACCCAGCATTCAGAAACCACATGCATCGTAATATATACCTAGTTGCTCTTGTTATTCCTATTGCAGCTAAGGCTAAAAAAAACCCAAAACAAATCTAATTCAATTAATCTTTAAATAAGCATATGGAAAATTCCGCCTACTCCCAACTCTGAGTCTATAAAGAAATTCAGTGAAGACTTTGCTAGTGAATTGTTGCTTAATAAAATCAACTCCTTTAAAACACACACACACACACACCACACACACAAAGCAAAAGGATTATCTTCATGCTTTAGATGAACCTTCTGTGTTTCTTCCACACTGCCTGCCACTGAACTCCAGGGATAAAAATGTTACACAACAACTCAATCTGTTTTGTAACTCAGACACCACATTATCATCAGGTCAAGTTACTAGTCAAACAAACACTGGAAAACAGATGGTTCCAACCTGAATAGAAGGCTTCTTTTCACTCCTTGTGCTATAAATAATCAAAAGAAGCAGAGGTCATGTAGATTATGAATGGGGGCTCAATTGTCCTGTATTCATACGTGCAGTTTGAATGACAGCAAGGTCATTGTTGGGACCTTTATCTGAGCTATCTACTGTCACTGTATTAACAAGTTTTAAATCTTTGAGGGTGTTTAGTTTCTTTTTAGTAAACTTATCCTGTATTCTGCTGAGAAAAACTAGAGAGAAAAAGAAAGAGAAAGACCATTTAACACCATGGCATCATTTTAAATTCTCTCTCTCTCTCTCTCTCTCTCTATCTATCTATCTATCTATCTATCTATCTATCTGTATATGTATATGTATATGTATATGTATATGTATATGTATACGTGTATACGTGTATACGTGTATACGTGTATACGTGTATACGTATATACGTATATACGTATATATGAAATATAGGTATATATTTCATACTATCTAACTGAAAATTCTGCAGTCTCCAAAAATAGGGGAATTTGTCAGCCACTTTTTTCAGGCAGTTTCTTTTTTTCCAATGTTATATTCATTTAATTAGATTCTACAGCAATTTCTAAGCTGTTGTTCAATAGAATGCATGTCCGTGTACATTTTTAGTAAGATTTTTGCCTAATATATTTTGGTGGTAAGATTTATATTTTCCCAATACACAGGCAGAATGCACAAGACATCTTATGAGTTTTATTTTGCAGCTACAAAGTTTGCAAACCAAGATATGTGTCTAAATACATCTGTATATTTTATTTCCTAATAGGGGAAATAATGAAGTATGGCAGACCAAAATTAGTGGTGTGTGTGTGTGTGTGTCTCTGTGTGTGTGTGTGTGTCTGTGTTCATGTGTAATTTCCATTTCCCTTTTGTATTCTCTAGAATACCCTCTGCCCCCATGCAATATTACTGAAAGTAACTTTGCAGGAATGCTGTAGTGATATAGTACAATATTAATGCTAAATACTTTCTCACAATACATTTATACCCATTTGATTCAAACTCATGGATTTATATAGCAAGTGCTTTGGAAAAATCTTCATACTGAAAATTAAAAGGAAACTCAACAGAACACAGATGTAAAGGAAGGGAAAGCCATCACAGAAGAAGGGATGGGAGGAAAGAGCCTACATTATAAAATAATTGCAAAGAATGTGCTTGTAACAAAATGCATGCTGTTGACAAATATTGTTAAGATGGCCAACTGAGTTAGAAAAACATTTTTATAAGACTATGTTTTCATTCCTAATTCTTTGTCCTGTGATACAGAGAATTTCTATTTCTAAAACTTTAAAATACATACATCCTGATTTGTAATACTTCCTTATTTCTCTAGTTTTATCCTTTTTGCATAATGTTTTAAAGAGATAGCTAGCTAGATAGCTAGACAGACAGACAGCTAGATAGGCAGAAAGACAGATAGACAAAGGTGTGCTAGATTAGTGAATAGACCAGATTCTAGTCTGGAAGTTGGGATGTGAAATCAAAAATAATATATTTACCAACTCACAATGGACCAGCATGGTGATTATCGTCCATAACCTCTGATGAAGGAGCTTTCATGCCACACACAGTTCATTAATTTGGGCAGATAATTTTATATATAATTATAATGAGCCGCAGTGGCACAGTGGTTAGAATGCAGTATTGCAGGCTACTTCTGCTGACTGCCTGCAATTTGGCAGATCGAATTTCACCAGATTCAAGGTTGACTCAGCCTTCCATCCTTCCGAGGTGGGTAAACTGAGGATCCAGATTGTTGGGGGCAATATGCTGACTCTGTAAACTGCTGAGAGAAAGCTGTAAAAGCACTGTGAAGTGGTATATAAGTCTAAGTGCTATTGCTATTGCTATTTCTGGCATAATGGATAACAGAGGAATATATACCCCAGAACAACAAAAGGCTCCTTTGTAGAATTAAGAAAAGGAAAACACTTAAGAGTATGATATACCTCTGGATATATAGGTCCATTGAGTAGGGAAATCCTCAAGAAAATGACCAAACCTGATACTCTTGAGTTCACAAAATCCTCAGATCACCTTTTGTTAGTTTTCATTCAATATCATCCCCACCCTTATGCAATACTATTCAGAAAATACTAGTGTTTATTTTAAAAGGATATACTTCCCATATCATGTGTTAATTTATTTACAGAAAAATTCAGAAATAATCCAGCAGAATCGTAATGCTCTGACATAAAACAAGCTTTCTAATGACTCAAGTAGTGACACAGAATCTCTTTGATCAGCATTCTTACTTTATAAAATGTCATAAATGCATCACCAAATGCTACACAGGCACAACAGAAGTATTATTACAAGAGATACAAAGCGTGAGCATCTGTCTCTTCAAGCAGAAGAAGTTCAAAGCCAAATGAGAGAGAGAGACAGAAGATTCCACCACTAAAAACAATGCCAGAGGCTACATGACATCATAAATATGCCATCTGATGCAACATACTATGGCAAGCTCCTCATTCCTTCTTCATATATTGTGTCAGGAATTTATTATATTAAGCCCCACAAAATGTGAAAAAAACATGGAAAGCTGTGAATGTTGCTAGAATAAAAGCTGCTTTTATTTGTTCATGCATAGCATAAGAAACTTGTCCTTGATTTCCTTCAATGTTATTAAAATAATTACAAATGTTCCCAAAGAAAGATTCAAATACATGCTAATCTACTGTACTTTCCTGTCCCTTTCTTCTGTAACAGAAATAATCCTAACCCTACAAATGCAGATGGCACTGAGCCAATAGTAACACATGATTCAAATGACAGGTATGAAGTGACTTTTTAAAGATATTTTGATCCTATGAGCAATCAGCTACTTGTCCATAATTGCTCTTATATATAAAACTACCCCAGTATATATTGGGTAGGTGAAGCCCTCTTCACAGTTGCTATTAATATATATACACACCAAAATTACTGTAACAGTATACACCAAAATCAATACTAAAACATGGTTTTGGAAAGGTATTGAGTTACATGTACAGAAAGTAATAATACAGTAAAATCTTAATGTTAAGTAATTACTACAAGACCAAAGTATTACATTAACTAATATCTTGATGTGAATTGTAGTGGTTCTTTTTTCTTTATGTTACACTCAACTTTGGATGAAAAGTTAATCTTAGGCTTGTAACATTGATATCCTAAATGGTAATTAATGCTAGTAGAATTTTTAGGGTTTTTTCTTTTTATTTTCAATACTTTAAAGTTTTCTAAATAATAGAATGTTAGTAATTTTAATCATATTATATAAACATTACTCATTAGAAATTGGCATTGAAATAATACAATGTATTATGAATTATAGGAGTCCCTGCAGATTTAATCCACTAGCCGTTTCTGACTACAGGGGGTGGTGCTAATCTCCATTTCCATTTCAAGGCCAACATGACATCACAGAGCTCTGTTACCTTCCCACTGAAGTGGTACCTATTTATCTGCTCGCATTTGCATGCTTTCCAACTTTTAGGGTGGAAGGAGCTGAGGCAAGGACAGGAGCTCACCCCATCACATGGAGCTCAAGTCTCAAACCTGGGCTGCCAGTTTTCCAGCCGACAAGCCCAGCATCTTAACCACTGAGTCACCACACCACCCCATCATGAATTATAACATTACAATAAAAGGGAGGGGGATATAGAGTTGCCTGCACTGACATGGTGAAACTTAGAGACACTGCAACACAAACCTAACTTAAAGGAACTAGGATTATTCCTACTTTATTGAGTCAAAGGAAATGGGCATGGCCAAAGGATGAAAGGAACCATTCACCAGGCATTCTATTCATTCTGTAGATGAATATTTCCTAGAAATGTTATTATGTTACTTTATAAAATTTATTGCTTGATTTGTTTGCAAATATATGCTTAATGTATAAAATCAATACTTTACACAATCAATGAAATTTTGTTTATTGCTTAAATTTATTTCAAAATGTTTTAAATTTTGTTAGAAATGGAATTTAAAACTAGTGGACATGGAACTACATATAATCTCTATTTTCACCTGTTTTAGGAAAAGCAAATAAGTAAAAAGTTAATGATGGAAACAGAAGAAGCCCATTGACATAAGACTGTGATAAAGAATGTTAAGTATCTTTAACTATTGGAGAAAAAACTAAATTTCAGAAAAAGGTAAGCTTTAAGTTCTAAATACACATCTTACCATACATATGAAAATGGAATACTCTTACTATCAACAATTTTTACATTATTTTATTACCTTTAATAAATCTTTACATTGTATGCTATAGATGAGTTCTGTTTTGGGAGGAGCACAATTGGTTTTTTTATTTACTTGTTTTAAAGGGTTTTAGTCTTAGATAATTGTTTCTGAGTCTGTTTGTACTTGTCTGAAGATTGTTCTTACACAGATCACTATTGTAGAAGTTTGTTACTTTGGTAATGGAGCACTTGTATTTCTAATTTACTATCATTTTCTCTGTAATGAGAATATCTCAGAAATAACCAATACACTATTAAAACCACACAAGCCATACTAAAGCCCTCCAATACATCTTAACAAAACTGCAATGTATACTGTGTTAAGGACTGTAACCGTTACTGTGTAGAAAAGACAGGCAGAAGACTAACAAAGCACATCTATGAATACCAACTAGCAGTCAGAAGACACAATGAAGACTCCTTAATCTCACAACACATGGGCAGATTTAACCAGGGACCAGTTATGTAATTCTTTTAATAATTTTAAATTTTGTATTGGTATGTGTTTTAGTTCTGGCTGTGCACCACCCTGAGTCCACTAGGAGAAGGGCGGTATACAAATTATAAATAAATAAATAAATAAATAAATAAATAAATAAATAAACAAACAAACAAACAAACAAACAAACAAACCATAGTCTCAACTGGGAACTGTGAGCATTGTAGACTAATCCAAGTCCAAGTCCAGAATTCTATGTTATGTAAAGGCAGGGAAAATCCTCTTCACCTATTTCAACTCAATGTGTACAAATGGTAGTCATTTTCTTTGAAAGTAAGAGTTTGTCTTGAGATGCTAAATGCTATTTCTGAATTGATGCTACATCGGTACAACAAAAATGGATGAAAAAAATGATTCTTTTGAAAATTCACTGTGGGAAAAATCCTCAGTCTAACATTTGCCATCTGATCTCTAATAGGTTTTCCAATTTCGGAAAATCTGAGACTTGTTTGAAAAATTTGCTAAACTGACTAATCATCCAGATCTGTTTATTGATAATAACCAATATCTGCTTTATTGCAATCAAAATGCTTTCCTAAGAAAAACAGTTAGAAAAAGCAACAGATACAAGAAGTTGTATGGATCTTTGAAGCACATTTCATTCAAGTGAAGTTTAGAGTGAAGTGCCCTTCCTCAAAGCAATGTGATCCTAATTTGTTTGCTGTGTCTTTCTTCTGAGGCCTTCTCTAGCATTTTCAATAGCCTTGAGAAAAGTCTACTGTTTTCACATGACTGTATATCCAATTATTACAAAACAGGCAATATTTCTCCCGAGAACATGTAGTTATGTTGGCATAAGCAACCTCCTTTCATTTATTTATACATATTTCATCTTGTGATGTCAGAAGATATGAAAATGTACATGGAGCTGTTGGTTGACAAATGAGTATTTAAATTGCAGAATAAAACAGTAAAGAAATCAGAAATATAATTAGAATATATTAAATTGGCTTTTTCGTATTTATATATTAGATTGGTTATTTGTATCTTTCATGTGCCAAGCTCTATTGTTACAATGGCTTTATTATTAAAATATAGTATATTAACAAAATATAGTTACCTGGTAAAATGATGACATCTTCATCAGCTGATGGTATACTTTTATTGTAGCCGCCCCAGCCCTTTGTCACATCATTCCAGGATTCAATAAGGGACCATCTGTAAACAGGAGGAGAAAAAGAAGAAACTGGATCTAGGAAAAAAGAAAGAATTTATTTTTGTATGTCTGCCTACCTGCCTGTCTACTGCAGGGGTGTCAAACTCAAGGCCCAGGGGCCGGATGCAGCCCATGGGGTGCTTAGATCTGGCCCACAGGGCTGCCCTGGAAATGGTGCCTCTGCCAGCAAAAATGGAGCTTGGGAGTGCCGCATGCGCCCCCCCCCCCGGGCTCCATTTTCGCTGGCAGAGAAGCCACCATAGGCGCCCCTGGCACAAGTGATGTAGAGTGGCCACGCCCACCCTGGCCATGCCTACTCCAGCCCCCAGAGGTCAAACACAACCATGATGCGGCCCTCAATGAAATTGAGTTCAACACCCCTGGTCTATTGTCTTACTTATCTACCTATCTATCTATCTATCTATCTACCTACCTCAGTACAGATTTTACTGTAGATGTTTAGAAACAATGTTTATCTTCCTTAAAATGGCAACTAGTATTTTAATCATTTGTTTTAAAGTGGATATACACTTCTCAGTAGAGGTTCTCTGAAATGTCTACCTGTGTGATAGGATTGTTGTTCAAGATAGATTAAATGGATGCCAGGCATTAATTAAGATATAGTGAAATCAAAATTATAGATATAAATTTCCCCATTACTACCCTCCTAACCATTTTATCAACAAGAAAGAAAGCAAGTATTTAAAAGAAATTATCTTAAAGAGCAAAATATTTAGACTGGAGGTAAATAAGGCTTATATTTCAATTAACAGAGGAGTTAATAAATTAATTGCTTAATTGCAATATCATCTTTTCTTCTGAACTTTCTAAAACACACTTTTATAATCTTTTCATTCATTTTAATCTCTCTGTCTCTGTCTCTATCTATCTACTTGGCTTCCTATCCAGAAGTCCAATGGCAGTTGAATGTAGAAAGAAAGAAAGAAAGAAAGAAAGAAAGAAAGAAAGAAAGAAAGAAAGAAAGAGGGAGGGAGGGAGGGAGGGAGGAAAGAAGGAAAGGAAGGAAGGAAGGAAGGACAAACACTATCCTGGGAAGGGAGAGCAAATGTAGGGTGTCAAAAGCTAGTCCTTTCATTTACCAGATAATTATTTAAAGAAAAGTTATTTTCAGCAATGGGCATAGGATAGATGTGATGCAGTCATGTGCATCATTGGCAGACACTAGACATGACTCTTATATAAATTTTCTATACAGAGAAAACACTAACCAGAAACCCAGAAAAGTTTAAGTATCCAGAAATACATCCTATAGGTTAGAGTGAATAGTGCTCAGTCAAACAAGACTAAATTTTAAACTGAATTTACATACCTGGTTCTGATAAAGGGAATATGTCTTCAACTTTAAGTGTCACTTGGATTAGGCCTCTCCCTGTAACTAAATTTAGAAAGTTGGAAAGACATAAGAATGCTCTATAAAAGCTGAAAATTGTTCTAACTCTATAAAACAAAGTTTCTTCAATTGTGAGGAATTTCATGTTTTGAAATATTCATAATATGATGCGCATTGTATGAATCCATGCATTTTAAATACACCTTATACAAAAACCTGAAAAGAGTCAGATGCTCAGCTAAGGAGAAAAAGTGCTAAGAAAGAGCTGTTTGTTATAGGTAATCCCTGGGAAAGGATGTGTTAAGTTTTCCCAGGCATCTCCCGCTGACAATGCTTTCCTTGTGAAACCAAGCAAAATTGTTCCTCCATTATTAAAGTTCTTTTTATCATGTTTTATTGTTAACGTGATTCAAAATGTGGTTGAAGGACACTATATAAAATACACAAAACAAGATTTAGGTGTTTAACTAGACAGATATGCTCTTTTTCAAAATATTCCATTCAGTTCTACTTCTGCCTTTTTTCATTTTCCTCCATCCAGTCAATCCATATTCTTAAACCAGTGAACATTTTAAGGTTTTGCCATTTTTAATTCCCCTCTCCCTTAGCCATCTAAGTTTATCCTTACATTTTATTTTTGCAAAACTTTAAGTTTCCACAAAGTTCTTTCTTAATTGCACAATTTCAGTTAGTAATAATCTGAAGTATAACTTGCTGTTAATAAAAGAATTTATTGTTTCTGAAAATTACATTATTGTGCTATACAGAATGCCCAAATGGCATCTTCAAAGTCTTTTCCTGATCTTCTGACCTTGCAAGCACAGAAACACTTCAACCAGGATTGACACCTGGAATGATTGAGAGGACACCCCCTCCAAATGATTTGCAGTTTTCATAATTAATTTCACTATTGAACTGCTCTTGCTATTAGGAAGCATTGAAAAATATGTATAGCCAGTGTAATATAGCAGTGAAGGTATTGGATTGGCATCAGGAAGCCCCAGATCCAGTTTTAAGTCAAAATTCAAGACCCCAGGTTTCCAAGTGGCTAGTCACTATGTCTAGCCCACCCTACCTCCCCAGGAAGTTGTCATGGAGGAAAACATAGGAGGAGGGTTTGTTGCACATACTGTCTTGAGCTCCTAAAGGAAAAATGGGATATAAATCTAAAAAATGCTTACTCCTGGATTTTCAAACATATCTGCAAATTAAAAGCACAGTTTTATGATCTGCAATCTGGGACAATAGCCTGCTTCTACTTCTTGTAGCACCTTTTAGATGCTTGGATAATGTGGTCATAGCGCCACATAGTCATTTTTTCTCAAGCCCAAATGTACCATATTACTCCAAGCTCTTCTTATAAAGTTTAATTTCAAGTTTTCTGATCATTTTCATTGTCCTTCATTGTCTTTGTTTCCGAATTTGACAGGTCAGCTCCTTTGACCCTGGCACATATATCTTCTGCCAGTCTATGGGATAGAAGCAATTGCTCCTATGGACAGTTTTGTAAAATCCCTTTGACATTGTGTATGTCAATAAATAACTAGATTATATACACTTCTCTATATGCTTAAGTTAATTGTTACTGGATAAGAGCTTCTTAATATATTTTGCCTGACTTATCCGTAACTCAGTAGAATATTTTCTAAATGATCAAGGCAAATTCACAAAATCTTTTCAGTATACAATGAATAAGATTGGCCACCTTATTCTGTATATCAATTTTGGTATTGCTTTTTCTCTTCAGACCTGAGAATATGTGTGATACTTCCTAGAGCAACTAAGGATGGAAAACTATAAAGCCTCTAAGTTAACGATGAACAGTTCCTGCTGTGTCTCCACGATGTCTTCCTTCACATGCTCAGCTTTCAGAATAACAATGACTTTTTTTAACTGTGAGATTCGGTTTGAAGCAAACGCTGTGTGAATTTCAGAGCCTGCCTGTGAATGATCTGGCATCTGATCTGTATTTATTGACATTAAATTTAGGGTTTAATGCACTCCTGCCACTTTTCAACAATTCACCCTAAAAGGCTTTTAACTGGCACAAAAGAAGGAGGTCATAAGTAAATTGACCTCGGACAGAATGTACAATTATTAGAGAAGGTTAGGACAAGAGCAGCTGCTGGAGCCCCACTGGCAAAGCAAAGTACTTCCAAAAGTCTGGTTATTAAGAATAGACTCAGGTTTCCCCTCTCTACCACCTCGACAAGGTCCCTTTGGTTTCCCTAAGAAGAATTATCGCCCTCCCTAGCAGCTGCAATAATTGTGTTCCTATTGTTGCACAGACCTCCTCCCGACCACCCCCTACAAGTGTCCATTGTTGAGACAGAGTCAAGTGATTAGATACTCCGGCGGATACGGTTAGGGCCCAGCTGCCTAACTGCTGACACACGAGCATCAAGGGGTGGGAGGGGGGGGGAGACCCACGGCTGCAAGATGGGACTCTAACATGCCAGACCTTTTACATAAGTCAAACAGAAACAAATGATGCTTTCTGGGTCCTGCTGACGGAGCAACCTCTCCTCCTTTGAAGTGGTGAGGGCTGGTAGGCTTTTACAGCTTTTCCTCTTCAGCCCAAGCAAACATCCTTCTTTTGATATGAGACATGCTCATTATCTCTGCCCCATTTAATGATTTTTGATTGAAAGGTGGCAGCTCAGTTGCCAAGAGGGTAGTTAAAGAGGCTCCAAAGAGTCAGACCTACAATAAAGGCTTCCCTTATGCAGTGGCCTATATTTGGAATTTCTTAACAGCATGTTCTTGTTCTCTGCTGCAGATAAGGGCTGAGCGTGAAATTCTTAATTAAGCAGTAAATAGTGTATGGGTGTCAGCAGATGCAACCTGTAGCCATGGAGACTGAGTCACATGAACAGGAGAATAGGCACTAAACTAGAGGCCTTAGGCCTAGAAGTGAGTGACAGCTGAAGAATCCTACAAAGCTTGTAAATGGGATTAATTAGCTGACTAATTTTTTTCAGACTATCTCCACAATTTAAAAATAAAGAAAATTTCTGTTTTTATTTTAAAGGATAGTAAAAAGATCAAAACACAGATGGTCTTTTCTTGGAAAGATCTTGGGCCATTAAACTCAGAAGGAACAGAGCTGAGCTCACACAGTCCACTTTTTCTTTCAGCAGAGAAAGCACTTCATGGTTCAAACAATGACACACTTTTATTGATAAATGCAAAGAGACCAAAAATGTAGCTTAGGTGAAATAGTTATAGAGTCTCTGTTTGCAATAACTTCTGTTATTTTTGCAGTTAAGACTCTGAAGTTCTTTCAGGTAAAGAACTATGTAACAAAATTATTTTCTTTCTTGTGTTCAGGGGAGAGACTAAAGCCCACTTCAGGCTTCCTTGAGTTAGAAAAAGATGCTTTTATTATGTGATGCTGTTCATATGAAGGAGCTTCACATCACTAGTCCAATTTTAGTCATGCCATGTTCTTTTTCACCTAATATTTACTACATTGGTTAAAATTGGCACAAATAACTCCAGGATTCAGTCATGCAAATAAGTTCCCATGTATAAAACCACTTATTGTTATGTGCTCCCTGTTTCTCCAAGAACTTTCTGGAATAGCACAAAGAGATTTTAATTATGGAGAAAATTTCACCTTCCTGTAGCAAGTGGCAAGCCTAACAACCGAAAAGCAATTTTCGGAAGAAGTGTCTGACTTCCAAATTGCTTCACAAAGGAACAAACTACTCAATGTGGTTAATGTGTGATGTCCATCACCAATTCCAACATCCGTGTACAGTTGTTCCTTCTCAATGAGCATTATTATCAACTACAACCTTAACATTAAGTTCTTACCTAAATAAGTTAACTTGTTAATTTTCTTGTTGAAAAACCAGTCACAACCCTTGTGATGTCTATGGGAAGGAACAGCCTGGAGTAGTGACCCTTGCCTTCTTCCACAAAGCACTGTAACTTGACTGTGGACTGGCAACCCTTCATGCTCCAATAATAGGTAATTGCCAACAGCAAAATTATCAAATGTAGCTATATACTATGGAGTAGAACACAAGAAACATGCAAACATTTATATTTCCTTTCTGAATTATATCAGGACTGCAATAAAATACACTGAAGATTGTGTAAGAGAGAAGGAAGGAGAGACACGGCAATTTTTCATCAGACCCATAAATGCCAAAGTTTCACCTCTGCCCCTCCCCTAATTTATGAATAATGTTCTTTGGATTTGACTATTTACAGTATTTGCTACTGAGAAATGAGTAATCATTTCAAGAGCATGGCCTTGCCAAAAAAAGCCACATATAATGCTGAGTTACCCAGTGTGTTTCATGCTATCTTATAGCTCCGAAATTGTCTTTCGCATTATAAAATATTCATTCTGACCTGTGAATGACCCATATCACATACGGACACTATGAATCCTATCCTCTGTACCTAATCCTTCCATTAAATTAAAATGAAGTTTTATGATATTTTGGCTTCAAAATTCTTTTTTCTGTTTCCTATAACAATGTGATACTGTAACAGTTGATGGATTAAACAAACCTTCATTACCTGCAAATTTCTTTGAAACAGAGGACTGCTGAATGACAAAGTATAAATTTCTTGATCCAAAAGAAGACTCATCCAGCCATTGGCATTTGATAAAGTGTCAGACATGTAATTGACAGTGATCACCTTATTGCGACTATTAGTTACAGTTAAATTAGATGAAAAGATTGGGGAATTTCTGAAAAAAAAATGAAATTTACTGGTATTTTCTAAATAATATTCACTTTGATACTTACTGTTGCTATGTTGATGCATCATGTTAGCCCACTGTTGCACTTCAAATACTGTATTTAGATCAGATAGTATAGAATGGCAACATATCCCACTTCCCCAAATTTAAGTCCCATAAAAACTTTTCAAGTAGACAACCTACTTGACAATTCAGATTTGCTTGAGTGAATCCTTAATCAGGAATACCAGGCAAACTCCTGGGTACTCAACTTTTTTATTTTGGGAATGACAAGCTCCTTGCAGTTGGAAATAAATCCATCATTTCTAGTTTTACTCATTTTCTTAGTTTCCCTCCAATTTTTGTGTCTTTCTGCGTCAGAAGAAACCACAGAATTTCTGTGTAGATTTTATAGGACTCCTCTTGCTGAATTCATTTGCAACAAATAATAACATAATAATAACATGCCCATATATTTTCAAATTGCTTACCAAGCTCCAAAAAATGCAAATTTTGATAAACAACATATTTAATTCTGAGAGGTCCAAACTGGATAAATGCATTAAAATCAGAATAACATAATTTCACTTCCATCCCTGTTGTTTCAAAACAATGGAGGATAAGATGGATAGGCAGAATAAGACCCTTGAAAGGCAACAAATAGTTTTGATTCCTCAAAATGTCCAGGTAAATCATGAGCTGACTATTATATTGTCTTTCCAAACAATTCTTTCACTTCATACTGTCAAGCTAGCCCCAAAATAGAACTACTATATTGCTAGCATAATTGAGCATTCCTACCACCATAATTAGCACCATTTTAATTTGCTCTAAATAGCCAGTGATTTTCACTGTGCCCTAAATAGCCACCAATCTACCTCTCTTTAATGTTAATGGAGCAGAGGAGGGCATGAGCATTTTTAATTCGGAGGAGCTGAGGGAGCCTGCATGGATCATTAACGGGAAAGTGTTTCATTACCAAAGGAGGAGGTAGCTCTCTAAGATCTGTTCTTCTCTTTCTGAAGAAGAAACCAGGAGGAGGTTACCACAGTGGTAATGTGAAATTAACCCTTGGCTCAAACTGCCAGGAGCCTTTCAAAAGGGTTAAAAAGAAGAGAAAAACCTGGATGACTGATAGGCAGTGCTGCATTTTTATATCCGGAGAAGTTTCAATTAAGAAGCAATTTGCTACAGAAATCTGGCATGACTAGTAGATAGAACTTTACAGTCTGCGTTACAATTTACCATCATGGTTCTTTAAGCTGTTATGTAATTTAGCTCAAGTGTAGTGTGCAGAACTGTTGAACATAAATGGCTCACAAAGGGTTTGCTAAACCAATCAACAACTATGAGTAGAATAAATATTAAGTCTCCTGTTTATGTTTACCATTAGCTTACTTATCCTAAGGGGGTTCTCCCCTCCCTTCCCCCCTTTGTATTATGGCAAACACTGCGTTTAGCTCTAAATGCTTTCTGTTTTTACCTTTGTGAAATAATCTACTACAATGATATAACTCAAGAAAATAAAGCAACAATGAAATTGGCTTAGGATGAGGCCGGTGATACATGCATCAATATTGCAATGTATTCTTTCAGAAATAGAAATTTAATAGTATAGTAGACACCCACGAGTGTCAAACTTGCATTTTGCTTAAGGCCTTTCCCAATTGATTTGAAGTACTATTCTCTCATCCTTGAGTTGTCAACACACGTACCAGCATGAAATAATAGACCCATTGCCAATCCCTGCTCTGTCTTTTTTATCTCTGTTCCCAAACAATCACCCAAATTCCCCTCAGGATAATGACTGACAGATTTTCACACATTGAGACTATGCATGGACTATTATAGAATAAGAGGAGAAGGTGTAGTTTAACACCTGTCCACTAAGAAGAACGTAAGCTTATCTTATTTACACACTTGGGAGGAGTTGAACATAAGGTTATGGAGGCAAGGCAGAAAAAAAATGTGGTCAGGCCATACTTGTTCTGAGGTTTTGTGCAAATACTGAAAGCATGACCGCATGCTGTTATCCCAAAAATAGGAGTGGGATTTGGGGGTTCTCCGAACTGCAGAGAATCTTAGCTAGAGTTTCTCCCGAACCTCTGTGAACCCCCAGCAGCCCACCCCTGCTTAGCATAATCTATTTTTATTTTTAAAAATGTATTTCTCCTGCAATTACACTGTATGCGATTGCTGGATGTGCCTGTCCTATTCATATGTTTTATTCCCCACAATGAAATGACTTTTCTGGTACTGGATGTTTTTTAACACATTGTTTTCTCTTATTTTTGCAACCTATTATTTTGCTAAAGTATGACTTCCTAAATTTTGTACAATTACGCATGAGGAAAAAAAAAAGCAAAAACTTACAGGCTAATAGACATACGATGAAAAGTAACATTTGCAAAACAACAACTGGCATTGACAGCTTGACTGGCATTGACAATTGTCCTACAGGAATCTGGAAGAATATCCAGAGAAGGAAGGATCTGACTTCCTGGTTGTCCGGTGAAAGAGCCATCTAGATCTTTGAGGATGGCACAATGAGGGAATGGAAATGATAGCCAGTTTGGGGCATTGAGGAGGAGGATTTGTTCTGTTCTGACAGTAAAGCCTCCTGGAAAAGAAGAGGAACATACTATATTATAGGACAATTAAGGGAAGCTATAAAATCCTATCCAATGAAAACTGAGAATTCAAAAATTTAGAATGTGATGTTGATGTTGTTGATCAAATCAACAGCAGTTTTCTTGGCAATGTTTTCTTCTTGCTATGTCTCAGAGAGTGTGACTGGCCTCAGATCACCCAGTCAGCTTCTCTGCCCAGGGGTAGATATTCACCATTGTAAATATTGCTTATGATTACACACACACAAACACACACACACACACACACACATACACACATTATTATACTGTTTGATTTTAATGGATGTAAAATGCAAAAAGTTAAACATCAAAAAAGGAATAAGGATTTGTACGTCTTTAAATTAAAGAAAACAAACAGAATCTTGTAGCACCATCAAACAAATCTTCCATTAGTAATGCACTTCCACAGTCTTTTGCACAATGTTTCTAACTATTGACTGTTTTCACACGTTTCCATTAGCTAAAATATGTGAACGGTTTTTAGAATGCATATTTTAGCCAAGAAATTGTTAAGCAAGAGGAAAACTGCTAGGATTGGAGAAAAGACAGTAAGGTTTTTTCTGGTCTCAATGGCAGGCATCTCAAATATGCAGGTATTTGAATCTAGTCACTAATTTCATGCCCTGGTTATTCCTGACTTATAGATTTTAAAAACCGTATATGTTCTAGTAATGCATGGTTGCTATTATTAATATTACTACTTTATCTTTGATGTTTGCTTCCAAGAAGGAGTCTTTTATCCCACTCCAGTTCCAAGCTATTTTTATTATTATTTAAATACAATTCTCTTGGAAAGACTACGAATTGCCATGAGCATGAACAGTGAAAGTTAGGCTTATGTGAGGCAGCTGAACAGTACCTTGACAAGGAGCTTTGTGTTCCTAGCACCATTCATCCCCCTGGACGCTTTATGCTTCTGGTGCTTCCTCTGGCCAGAAGAGTCTTCTGAGCATGCCTCAAAATCAACATGAAAGCAGCATTTTCTTCTTTAGAAGTGAAGGATTGCATTGCTTCACAAAACATCTTCAAAGGGGTGTTTTGCTCAGAGCCTTGTTGAAGCAAAGCATCTCTCCCAAGATTTGCTTAGCCAGAATGGAAGCCAGCTAAGGAGAGAACTGTTTAATAATGGGAAAGGATGGATTCCTAAACCTAACTGCAACTATATTCAGTTGTCTTCAAGCACAAAGGTGGGATCCAGCAGGAGATGTCAAAATATTATAATTCCAGATATTAATGGATTGCATTTCAGAGATGTGCAATTTAGCTAATTTTGAGAAAATTGTATATTCTGTTAATCAGAAAATGTCATACTACCTCTGCCTTTTGAAAAAAGTTATTTGACAAGCTGGATGAATTTAGTTTTTCTCTTTAAAGGCTTACAAAATCAGACTGATCAAATTGAAATTACAAATTCTTTCTTGTTATTTTCTTTATGTGTTATTCAATGCGTAATTTTTTTCCTTTCTCTTTTGTGATTGTTCATTTTTATTTTATATATGTTTGTTTGAAAATGTATGTATGTATGTATATGTGTGTATATGTGTATACATATATGACAAATTACTCTGGGACTTATATCTTAGAACAGGGATGTCAAACTCGATTTCATTGAGGGCCGCATCAGGGTTGTGCTGTGACCTTGGGGGGTGGAGGGTTGGCCAGGGTGGGTGTGGTCAGCTTGATATCACTCATCGGGCTCCGTTTTTGGCCCCAACAGCCCTCCCCAGCTCTGTCTTCGGCTGTGATGACCTCCTGCAGCCCTCTGCCAGAAAAAAACGGAGCTTGGGGTGGCTGCACATGGCCCTCCCGGGCTCCATTTTGGGCCACAATGGCCTTTTGCAGCCCTCTGCCAGCAAAAACGGTGCTCAGGAGGGCCGCGTGGGCTGGTCCTTCACTGTTTCCAGGGCAGGCCCGCAGGCCAGATTTAAGCCCCCATGGGCTGGCTTGGCCCCTGGGCCTTGAGTTTGACACCTCTGTCTTAGAACAATATATTTTATATGCAGTCAGAACACAAGTATTGAATATAAAATGCAGTCCTTTTAGCATAAAACAGTAGAAATGAGAACTGTGTATGTAGATATGATTGGAGCAAATTGCAATGGTGATAAGGATATATGAATTTAATCTCTGGTTTATTTGTTTTTTTAATAGAATACCAGAGTTGGAAGGGACCTTGAAGATCTTCTAATCCAACCCTCTGCTCAAGCATGAAAACCTATACCAGTTTCAATTTTATTTTATTTTTTGCATTGCAAAAGCAATATGGATTATGCATTATGGCTAAACAATAAAGAGCTTTTCTCTTGTTGTTATTATTGTTGGGGTTGTAATTCAAGTTTCTGGTGGTGCAGTGGTTAAAATGTAGTATTACAGGCAAACTCTGCCCACAACCTGGAGTTCACTCCTGATAGGGTTCAAGGTTGACTCAGCCTCCCATCCTTCCAAGGTCAGTAAAATGAGGACCCAGATTGTTGGGGACAATATGCAAATAAAGCTTTGACATTGTAATCTGCCCAAAGAGTGCTATAAAGTGCTTTGGGGTAGTATATAAACCTAAATGCTATTGCTATTGCTATTCTTTGAGAACTGCAAAATAAGCCTGTATCCTTTTTTATTAAAATGAATCAGGTTGGTAGAGATGTGCGTGCTTGGCTTTAAAGCAAAGGAAAACCTACATATGTTTACTGCATAATAAGCCTTTTGGGGTTTAAAAGCTCTTATTCAAAGTATTACACTTAGAATTTCTATTTTTATTTAGCCAATCTATTAGCTCAATGTCCTCTTGTGGCTCTCTGGATATAGAAGGTGAATTTATGCAGTGTGGGGCTTCCTCTATCCACTATGGCTCTCCACATGATAAAACTCCAGACTTCATTCATGTGAAGAGCATCCATTGATAAAAGAGGCTCTTCATTGTAGACCTTCATTTTCTACATATGGAAAACATGCTTGTCCTCAAGTGACATCAACTCCATGGTCTCTTCTGTTACCATATTCTAGCAAATGTAATGGTCCTGTTTGAAAAAGATGCATTGCCTTTGGATATGTATATATGTAAATTGATTGTTTCTTTTCTATGAACTGGTTTGAGCAAAACTATTTGTAGAAAATCCTCTTTCGTGCTCTTCACACTCACTTCTCATCACAACCATGTTCAGTACTGAAAATCTAACTTACCTTGACCTTGGTAACAGCCAGAACAGGTAGTAATTGCAGTGCAGTTGTGACTGTCAAAGTTCATAAAGGTTGCACGTGAAATCAATAGTTCATGCTTTTGAGGAGTTTTCAGCCCTGTCAACATACAGCTTCTATCCTGCTACAAGAATGTAGGCATTGGCATTATGTTTAAAAAGAACAGTTGTGTAAAGTTAAGTTGTGCATTAGCATGAATTCATGTGGTAATGCTGTATTTAAGATAGTTATTAAGATAACTGTCTTAATTTAATTTAATTTAATTTAATTTAATTTAATTTAATTTAATTTAATTTAATTTAATTTAATTTAATTTAATTTAATTTAATTTAATTTAATTTAATTAATTAAATTTATATGCCGCCCCTCTCCAAAGACGCAGGGCGGCTCACAATACATTTTAAAAAATAATTTAAAAAACATTGAAAAATTAAAAACATTAAAAACATTAAAAACTCATTCACGCTGGATCTCATGGCCGGATCTCGCCAGATCACAAGAGATAGATCAACGGCCCCAGGCCTGCCAGAAAAGCCAGGTCTTCACCACTTTTCGGAAGGCCAATAGGGTGGGGATGGTCCGGACCTCAGGAAGTAACTGGTTCCAGAGAGCTGGGGCAGCCACAGAGAAGGCCCTCCCCCGCAGGCCCACCAGCCGGCATTGTTTAGCTGACTGGACCTGGAGGAGACCAACTCTGTGGGATCTTACCAGTCGCTGGGAGCTATGCGGCAGAAGGCGGTCTCGAAGATAACCTGGCCCTTAGCCATGTAGGGCTTTAAAAGTAATAACCAACACCTTGAATTGTGACCAGAGACCAGTGCAACTCGCGGAGAATTGGTGTAATGTGGGTGTACCTAGGTGCACCCATGACAGCTCGCGCGGCTGCGTTCTGGACCAACTGTAGTCTCCGAACACTTAAACTAGTTTAAGACAGTTGTCTTAATCCATCAAGGTCAGTATAGACACTTTTAGATCCTGCCTTTTTCATGCAGAAATTGGGACATAGAAGAGTGAAGACTGCATTTAGTACAGTACCACCAAGTTCAAGTTTGCTCTGGAAACTGCATAAATGAATACTTGCCATAGTAATCTAAATTTGGTAATAATTTGGAGATCTATGGATCTTCTAGTAATCTCATTATTTATTCATTCATTCACTTATCAAATGTATATATGCTGCTCATAATCTCAATTACTCTTGTCCATCTGCCACATCTGTTACATTCCTTTTCTTCTACTTCCCTCAAATTCACCATCATTTCTTTCAGTTCACACAAATTCATATTACATGGCCCTATTCATTCTTCCCTGCTAAGTACTTTTTACTTTTTTCCCCCTTGTGTTATTTATTTATTATTAAATTTGTACGCAATCAACTCCCAACAGTTCTGTGTGGTTCAGCTTCCATTCACCTTTGTTAAAGGCCTGGGAGAAGAGTTAAGACTTTATAACTGTTCTAAATAACAACAAAGTGAAGGACTTCCTGATTTCAGGGAGAACCTCACTCCAGAGAGCAGACACTGCTACAGAGAAAATAGGCTTCTAGGGTTCTGATAGATGGCACTGTTTAATTGAAGGAAACCAGAGTGTGACAATCCTATCAGACAAAATGGTTAGATACTGTGAGAATTAGGCAGTTGCCCAAGTAACCAGGCCTTATAACATGAACAGTTTTATAGGTAACAGCCAACACTTGAATCATACCCAGAAGCAAACTGACAACCAGTGCAGTTCTTGGAGCAAAAGTGTTATATGGACATACCAAAGCATGCCCATCACTGCTCATTCTGCTATATTCTGGATCAGTTGAAGCTTCTAGGTGACAGCCCCATGTACAACTCATTGCAGTAGTCAAGCTGTGATGATCAGAGTGTAGCAACTGTGTAAAGCACCTCCTTATCAAAAGCCTGTTCTCTGGCTATCCATGATATATGTTTTGTGTTTTTAAAGCTCTCCATGTTTTGCCACAGCTTATCTTTGGGATGGTCAGAAAATAAAAGATGTAGAAAAATCAAAAGTTAATTTTTTTAAAAAAAAAATAGATCTCTAGAAATTACAATGACTTTTAAATTGCTAATAGCTATTTAGCACAAGTACACACATACTCACATTTAAATTCCACCTATTTTTTTCCTATTAATTTGCAGTGGCTGCTGAATCAATGCAAAAAGTAGGATTTTAAAATAAATAAATAATAATTGGTTAAAAGCATATTTTAAACATAAAAGGGTTGGCTGAATGGAAGGTTTAGCTTTCTTGTTAAATTAATGTCATAAAGTTTTAATTGATGTTAAAGAGACATCATTATTAAAGGCTAGAATTACATAAATTAATATGTAAATTATGACAAGAAGATTCTTTATCATGAGATAATCAAAGATAATCAGCCCCCTGGGGTGCTGTAAGGAACAAGGCACAGCTGAGCGCCTCAAAATCTTTTAACAAGTAATGTGGGATAACTCAGTATCCCGAGACAGCAAAACCAAAGAAAATATTTCATTAGTGCTATAAAAGTTAGCTGCATTCTAATCTACCTATCTCCTGTTCCTCTGGTTCTCTCTTCATTCTTCACACTTACAGTAATCAAAATTTAGTCTCTCTTATTCGTAACACTAAAATCTATTTCAAGATTCAATTTTGCATCCATTAGATTCATTTTAAATTCCACTTTCCCAACCTTCACCTATGCAAAACAACCTTACCTCCCTTGCCTTGAGATATATTTTGGCATGCTGAAATTCCTGGAATATATAGAAAATTAGTTTGAAGACATCTTGGCATGTGGAATCTTACAAGCATATTTCTTGCCTCTAGATTTTCATATTCTGGGGTATTTTCGGCATATCATTGCCAAGGCAGTATAGGTCAATAAAAATGATAGATGGGGTGACAAATGGAGGAGGCAAGAGTAACACTATACAAAAAAAATTGTCCTGTTTTTTCATTATTTTGATGAAATACAAGTTTTTATTTTGAAATTTCCATTAAAGTAGAGCTTCCATTGAGGCTATGATGAACTAGATGTCCTCAAAGGAGTGGAAACAGCTACTCAAAGATAGAGCCCAGAGGGCCAGTGCTGGACACTGAAATCTCTCCGGATAAAATAGAGATTGCAAAATAGCCCACTTGTTTTCTGGACAGCTGCTCCTCATAAGTAAATGGAAGGAACAGCTTTTTGCAGTTTTGTTGCAAGTTGAACAGCTGGGAGGCATGGAATGCCATCTATGCTTATAGCCACAATGTAGCCTATATCAGGGGTTCCCCAACCTCTGGTCCATGGACTGGACCCAGTCCGTGGCATGCCAGAAACCACGCACGCGGCACGCCAGAAACCATGCAAACAAGTGAAGGCCCATCCTTGGGATGTAGGCAGCATGCAAAACCATGCCCCATCCGGTCCACAGGAAAACCTTTCTCCACGGAACCAGTCCCTAGTGCCCAAAAGATGGGGAGTCGCTGGCCTATAAAGACAATAAGCCCAGTAGTCATTTATGGAATTTTGGTTTATAAAACCTTGGGTGAAAAAATTACTTTAGTTGGAACAAAAAACAAACAGAAAAATATTTTTGTATATAATTTTTTGTGTATAAAATCCTCAACTAAAACCAGAACTTGTATTGATTGATGATCATGGTAGATTTGTTGGAGTGGAGGTTAATTTACATGGAATTGAGACTATTATATTGGGAATTTATGCCACAAATGAGGATTCTGTAAATGTATAAAAATAATAAAAATAGGATATAAATAAATAAAGTGATATTCTATAAATGACCTATAGAGAGAGTAATAGATTTCTCTTAATGAAAATTTGCATGGGGATTGGAATGAAGTGACTTCCAACAAATGAACAGAACTTCACAGAAAAATGTTAAGATTACTCAAGGTAAATTACCCATTTTTAAAAAAATTGATGGAAAATTTAGTGTTTGTTGATGTGTAGAGACAAAAAAAATGGTAATTCAAGATAATATACTTTCTTTTCTGATACACATAGACCCTTTTCAAGAATAGATTTGAAATTAATATGATTTGGATTTCAAAGAATTTGGTTACTAAGACTCTCTCCAATCATAACTCTGTAAGGCTGGTTTATGAAAGGAAATTCAGTTCCTGAATTAATATCCAGAAAAGCTGTGGTTTTAATTCCGTGTTCTTGGCTCTTTAACTGTGATTCTTTGGGGAAAAAAATGTAACCTCATACCTTTTCCTGGAAGCTGCCAATTAGTACACTGTTGACAACGGAAGTGTTTCCAAGACTTTCCACAATGTTGATACCAAAATCTTTGCAGGAAGAGATGTGGAAGTTCCAAAACTGGAGATTGCTGGTGCTAATAATCTGATAGAATAATACTTTAGAATAGTATATTAGCATTGTTTTCATATAGCACAATGCTAATTACAAAGTCTCTCATTAGTTTCAAAGAAAATGATAAATCAGGAGCCGCCCTGAGACTTCAGAGAGGGGCGGCATATAAATTGAATTAATTAAATTAAATTAATTAAATTAAGAAGGCAAACCTGTGCTCCTCCTTGATAAGATAAATTGAATCTTTAAGAAATCATCTAAAATAATGCCAATTCTATTGATTTAGTTTTGTATGTTAGCAGTTCACAAAAATTAAAAACTGATATTTTACAAGTTTTGCTGCAAAGACATTCACTATTCAGTATTACTACATTCTCTCTCCTAAGCATAATAATATGCTCTGGGATATAGAAAATGAACACAAAAAGGAATTATTTGCACACATTTAATATCATAAAAATAACATCCAGCATTATTTAAAATACAGCAATATGATGCTGCTAATATACAATTTTACCATTTTTTCTTCTTTCTAGCTTTATTTTTATCTTTTTCTGTTGTTTCTAGGAAAAAAGAATGCATGGTACCTTTACTCCACCTTTGCACTGCCAGGCAGTAAAATTTTGGAATGTAACAGGTTTTGTATTGTTTCCCTTTTGAGGGTGATATGCTGGATGTATGAGGAGTCCATACCTATTTATAGCAAAGTAAATGATGATTCCATAAACAACAAAAATAATCTAGGGAAATTTCTATCAGATGACACACTTGTTTTAACTACATGGATTGTTTATTTGATTTATTTGATTTTTATCCCATCATTTGTAGAAGAGCTTAAGATATTAGACACAGTGCTTGCTCTTCCTATTTTTCACCACAACGACCCTGAAAGTTCAGGTGGGCTGAGAGCACTTCCATAGTTGAAGGTGGACTTGAATCTGGGGGGCCCTGCTCCCAAATCGATATCTTAAACACTAAACCACACTAGCGCTCATTGAGTAATTTAGTGATTCTAGCACAACAAATGAAGTCCATGGTGTGTATATGGAGGTGGCAGTTGATGAAATTGAATAAACAATAAACAGAAAAGGCACAATCGGGAGGAAAGAATAGTTAATCAGCAGCATTTGATCATATATAGCATCCAACATATTAGGGCAGGAAAAATGCTCATTTCTAGAGTAAGCAAATATCAAAGTTCTTCAAAAAAAGAGGCAAGAAACTGAATAGTAAGCTTGCTTTTAAATACAAGCATTTCAACTACTGCTTAAGGGTGTTGAATTAAGACCATTGGGAGTGGAGGAAAACAGCACTGTGTATACCACCTTGACCTCTGGAGGAAAGGTAGGCTATAACAAATAATTTAATTAACACAAGAAATGCAATACTTGCAATCCACTTCCAACCACTAAACACATTCAGCCTCAGGAAGACTTAAAATCCTGGTCTAGCCAATCCGCTCCAAAATTACAATGATTCCCTCATATAGTTCTTTGGTTAAGATTATTATAGCTTCTGTTCTCGATCTGTTCATGATGAGAATTTCTGCAAGAATATGGTGTGTGTGTGTTTGTGTGTACCTTCAAGTGAGGTTTGGACTCCTGATAACTGCCTGGATGAGTCCCTGAAGTTTTATTGGCAAGGATTTTCAGAAGTGGTTTACCATTGCCTCCTTCCTACGGTTGAGAGAAAGTGACTGGCCCAAGGTCACCCAGCTGATTTCAAGCCTAAAGTGGGACTAAGGCTCACAGTTTCCTGGTTTCTAGCTTGGGCTCCTAACCACAACACCAAACTTAAATGTGGATAATCAAATAAATATAGATTAGGAGAAAAATAAATAATAATTCATGGCAATTATGCATGACATTTGTTAATGAACTGAAACAATTTCATAAAGGATGGCAGGGACTCTGTGCCAGTCTTTATATTGCAAATGTAATATTTTGCAAAAAAAAAAAAAAAAGATCAGAATACAGCAACATGAGAAATACTATGTATCGATGCCATATCTCTCCAATGAGTAAAACATAAGAGATGAAAATATGACAGAATGGTTTAGAATAGAAAAACACTATATGTAACTGAATATGAAATGTATTGTTTACATAGTCTATGAGAAATGAACCATAGCATATCAATATGTTTTCATCCTGCTGGAGGAAAACCCTATTAAACATCAGAGAAAGCATTAAACACATTTACCACAATTAATTACTATAGAATTCTTGTGTATGTGCATGTTATATATCTGTTGGCATCAGTGGTGGGTTTCAAAAATTTTTACTACCAGTTCTGTGGGTGTGGCTTGGTGGGCATGGCATTGCTTGGTGGGCGTGGCAGGGGAAGGATACTGTAAAATCTCCATTCCCTCCCCAATCCAGATGAAGGTTACTGCAAAATCCTCATTTTCTCCCAATCAGTTGGGATTTGGGAGGCAGAGAATAGATGGGGGCGGGGCCAGTCAGAATTTTTACCTCTGGTTCTCAGAACTACTCAAAATTTCTGCTACCGGTTCTCCAGAACTGGTCAGAATCTGCTGAAACCCACCTCTGATTGGCATGTATGAGATGACAAAATAAAATAGGCAGAAAGGAAAAAAAGATACCTAGAGCAGGAATGTGCTACATTATTACTGAAGGACATCACCGGTTCTCCGAATTTTGAAGGAGGAAGGTGAAAAAAGTAACCATGTCCGGTGCCACACACCATGTTACTCTGCAATAAAGTCAGGAGAATTTATTATCACAAATGGCACTTTGATATCTCTATCAAATTATTGATGAAATCCATGGAAGTTAAGATAATAGGTCTCTCTGAAAGTTGAGAAAACATATACAAACGTGCCTCCCCCCCCCACACACACACACACAACTATTCCAAACATTGACCTCAAATCCTGGATTTCTTTTTAATCATGATTTAGATATTTTTTTTAAAAAAAACCTTTGTTCCATTTTGTTTCTGCAACACTTTGAATAGTTTTTCATAATATGGACTTCCTCTATTGTAGCTACTTCTATTTTTTTCAGGGGCTCAAAGTAGTTTCGTTCTCTCACTTTTTAGCACCAGAACTACCCTGTGATATACAGTAGTTAGACTGGCTGTGGTTGGCCCCAGGGATGGGATTCAGCCAGTTCGACTGGTTCGTAGTTGCAAGGACTGGCTGGCCCCACCCACCCTGCCCTCCCAGGTGTCTCCCCGCGGCCGTTTTGGATGCCAGGTAAGTGCAGGGCCCGTGCGGAGGCTCTGGGAGGGCAAAAAATGGGCCTCTCAGACATTCCGGAAGTCTGGAAACAGGCCTGTTTCCGGCCTCTGGAGGGCCTGGGAGAGGCCATTTTCACACTTCTGGAGGCTTAAGGAAAGCCTCCAGAGCCTAGGGAGGGAGAAAAACACCCCCCGCCCCCTGCCGTGGTGCAGGAGGCCAAATAGGCCACGCTCACCATGGCCACGCCCACCCAGCAACCAGGCAGAGAACCGGTTGCTAAAACTTTTGACTCCCACCCCTGGTTGGCCCCAATTTATTCAGTCAGCATTATCGTCAGATGAGAACCTGAACATAGAATTTCCCTAATCTCTTAATCAGTACTACTATTTTTCTTACTATACATTCTTTTGTATGTTTTTTTGGGGTGGGGAGAATATTTGAGTTCTGATTCACATTATAGATCAGGAATGAGAATTAAGGTCAGTTCATCTTAAAATACAATACATAGTGTATCTATTTGAAATAAAACTATTTCATTACCAAATCAAAATTAGGAGAGTCTAAGACAGAAGGCAATTCACTGGGAATATTGCCTAGACATTCAGCACTAAAAAAAAAAAAAATCACAATGGAAATCTGATCCAGATGTGCAGTGGCCAAAAGGTGCTCACTGGTGTCATTTTAAATGTTTGCCAAGTGGTTATGTCCCCAAAGGGATTGCAAGCACAACCACCAACTCACTTGCCAGAGGTTACTGGATGAATGGCTTTGAGAACACTAGTTGTGACCTAGATCAAAGAGAATCAGTAGAATCAGTAGCCTGAGAAAGAAAGGCCCCAGATCCTATTTCCAGACTTGTGACCTATCCAGTTTTCTCACTGTCATGGTGCATGACATTTTTTTTTGGGTGGCAAAACAAAGAGATAAGAGTAATGCCTAAAGCACAAGTCTAGGCACCTTGTTACAGAAATATAGCTTTGCATATCATACTGCCCATAGCACAGTTAATGTAGAGCTTCCATTGTCAACTCATATTATGTCACTGGATATTTACCTAGAATGCCAGTGATTCAGTCCAGAAATTATTTTTAAGCCAGGGAAGGGAGGGAAACCTGTATATTTATGCAGAGAAGGAGTAGCTTGAAAGCAGTACTTTTAGGCAAATAGGAAATTTTATGTGGAAATACATTCTTTAGGAACTTTATTTTATAAATTTCATTGTATAAATATTACCAGAAATGCCTTTCCACGTGAATGTCTGATAGAATTTGGAGTACAACCAAGTTACATTTTATTCATAATATTGGCACAATACATACTTGTTTAATGCAATGTTGAAAACTAAGCAATCATTTCTATTTGCTTTGTTTCTACTTGCTTCCTCCTCTCTTTTCCAACGGATGGTTTTTTGAAAACTGAAAGATAGGTAGGCCCCTCTTGCACACTATTTGTTCAAGGTTCATAGAGAAACCCAAAAGGTGCTTTTCCAGAGGCAACTGGACTTTCTTAATTTCTTTTTTTTTAAATGTTTCACTTCTCATCCAAGAAGCTTCTTCAGTTCAGAACTGAACTGAAGAAATAGAAATAGAAAGAAATGCAAGAAATAGCAGAACGAGCATTAATTTAATCTATCGATCTAACTGTTGGGGTGAGGAAGCTTCAAGAAAATGTATCACAATGTCATTTGTTTTTTGCTTTCCCATTGTACAATAGCATTGTCTTTATATCTTACCTCTATCAAATTATCAGGAGACTGGATATATATTCCAGCTGGGGACAGAACTTCAGTATTGGAAAGGCCATCAGTGCGCAGTAATCCAATAATTGTATTGTGTCTTATTTTATTATTGCCATGCCATGCTCCTAAAAATACAATTGCAAATTAATAAATTATTGTATAGCAGACTGCTTGTCTGTCTGTCTATCATCTATCTATCTATCTATCTATCTATCTATCTATCTATCTATCTATCTATCCATCCATCCATCCATCCATCCATCCATCCATCCATCCATCCATCCATCTATCATCTATCTATCATGTATCTATCTTTTTGCACCCACCCTATTATTCATGGGCCTAGCTTTTACTGAATGAGGCTTAATGAAGTGATGGAGAAATGGACTGTTCTGAGGACAGCAGCAGATAAACTCAAGTCCCAATAGCAGCTGCATAGCTGCCAATCTGCTTGGTAAATAATTGCTGCTTTAAAAAAAAACTTTGCTGCAGGGAAGTGAAACTAAATGTGGGTGAGTTGTAGTTAGAGATCAAACTGAAGACTTGGACCAATATATGGAGCACTTCGTTCTGCATTCTGGTAAAGCAAAGGGGGCGGGTGTTTGCACATGTATTACTACTGTGCTTTACACACAAGTGTTCCTAAAGTTGCTGAGGCTGTATAAATGCAAAGACTACTAACATGGTGTTGATCTGGTTAATTGATTTAGCTTATGTTAAAGTACATTGTGCATGCTTTGTTGATGATGAGCTTTGTGGTGCATTTACAAATATCAAGACTCTGTTTGGCATCCTTTAACAAGCCTTTGTTCTGTTGCTTGGTGTGTGCTGCTCTTCATTTAATAATTGCTGCTGGCCTAGATCTGGTTATATAGTGTGCAAACATTTTTGTCCTGATCAAAATTCTTTTTTAGATGATTTTGATCTATTGGAGCATTACTGTTGTATCAAAATCATTATATTCTATATATTTATGAAAGTGTCATTATAAGCAGCCAGCAGCAGTGCTTATCTTTAATAACAGTTGAAAGCAGAAGAACAACAGATCCCATAGGAACGGGAACATAGTAAATTAAACTCAAATCTGTCTTCCTTTGACTGGATACTGCTGGCTTAGCTGGCTTCTCTATTCTCCAGGCTAAAATGTTCCTATTCAAGAAGCTTGATTACACAAATTCACTTTCACTTGGGGTTTTTCCTCTTGTCCCCCTAACCACAGCATGAATATGCCCTGGTAACATTTTTTTTTTTTTTGCCATATCTTTCATCTTATTCCCAGCCCATAACTGAAACAGCTTACAGTTATCTTTGGCTGTTCCAGTTTTAAAGTAGGAATTTCCCAATTGTCTAGATATAGTTTTTATTAGGGATAAAAACTATAGCCAGTAAACTAGATGTGATGGTGATTGAAAACTATATCCAGTAAATAGAATGTAATTGCTGGTTTAGTTGTGGTTTATTATCCCAGGTCTTTATAGCCCATTTAGGGACCTGCAGGGATATTCCTTCCCCTCTGGTTGCTGGGAACTGTTCTTCATGATATTTGTCACTTGAGCTCCAGGAGAGACCAGGCAATTGGCTTTTGCAGAAGCATCAGTTTACATAATACCCAACCAATGCATTTGAAAATCTTCTTCAGGTCCTACCTGGCTTCATGAGAAACACAGATCTGTTTGTTGTTGTATTTTAAGCAGATGTAGTGGTCTTTTTGTAAATGCTGGTTATCTGCTGCACAAAGGGTTGATTAAACCTAGGAAAAATCACCTGCATGTGCCAGCTCACATTGCTAGTTCTTCGATTGTTGACAGTATTTCATATTTTTCAAGCTATACATTTTATTGGGTTTTTTTTTACTTTGGTGCAGGAACAGTAACTTTGGTTACTTCATTATGGCTTTGGTTTTATTTGGTGAGGATACAATGGTTATGATGTTGTTACTGCACATCAGCCAATCACAATAGTGTGTTTTCCATGGCTCTACACTGGCTTCCTCTGGTACCACCTGCTGTCAGGTCAGAACTGGACTCCTTGATCACTCACTACTTTGCCCTTCTCTTGAAACACTAGTTGAGGATGGGATTTACTCATTTTCATCACCTCCTGTGACCTGATAGTTTGCTGGTTGGTTGGTTCATTGATTGTTTGATTAGACTTGTTTGCTACCCATCTTGCCTACAGGCAACTCTTGGTAGTTTACAAACACTAAACACTGATAAAACATTGAACAATAAAAATGCATAATAATAATTTACAATTACAAAGATGGGGAGGAAGGGAGCAGGATGTGCATGAGAGAGTTGGGGGCATGACATCTCCAATGTCATGCATGCTGGTGGGGCCCCAGGCCTATTGGCAGAGCCAAGTCTTCAGGCCCCTAGGAAGATTAGGAAGATTAGGAAGGTGGGTGCGGATCTTGGTTTACTTTTGGACATGTGATTAGCTTGTATTTATAAGAGGAGAGTTTACAACAAAAAGGCACATCAGCGGTTCTCCATCCCATGAATTGCCCCATTCTTGCAATGTATTTGTGCTAGACAGATGGCTACACCTACCATTCTAAACTCTTCCCTATACTTCTACAAAGTTGTCCTTCTCATATAGGATCTTCTTTATGGTTGCCCTTACTTTGTGGTGTTCTCTTCCATTGAAAGAAGTGGAGCCTCTAATTTGTCAGCATTTCATAAACAAATTAAATCTATATTGCTAAGGGAGTCCTTAGCATCATCTGATTTTAATGAGGACACTAATTTGGTATTTGTGCTTTCAGTGTTATGTTTATATTTTTGACATACACCACCACAGATCTTTAGGATTGGGAGGTAAGAAAAACCAAATAAATAAATAAATACATGTGAGAATGATTGATGGCTGATTTCCCATCAGCAGGGGAAATGGAAGAGTAAATGAAATCAAAATCTGTATTAATCCTTTTCTTTAACTTTAATAGGTTAATAAGAACAGTACCTTTTGTCAATCCAATTCCAGTTTTAAAATAGGCATTACCCATGGGCACCATGGATTACACCAACATACTTTTCTTTCAATTCAAAGACCAGTGGATAAAAATTTAATGCAGCCATCTGGATCAACTCTTTGTCCAAAAAGCTGATGGCTGCCATATGTTTATGTTTGCTTTATTGCTGGATTGCCATCTTGTGATTATTTTGCAGTTGTTTTGGTTAATTTTTTATATGCTGCTTCTATGTTCATGAGCAGCTTAGAGTGAGAGGGAGGGAGGGAGGGAGGGAGGGAGGGAGGGAGGGAGGGAGGAAGGAAGGAAGGAAGGAAGGAAGGAAGGAAGGAAGGAAGGAAGGAAGGATGGATTTTAGAAGACATTTGTTCTATTTTGTGGGACCCAAGTCTATTTGGTTTGATATGTCATACAAATTGAATGTACCCAATGTATGATATATTGATTTGATGTAGAAATTACAATGCTGGCATAGAAACCAGGAGTCTAGTTCTAGTCTAGTTATATTCCTTATCAATACGAGTTATTAAATTTTCCATAAGATTTTTTTGTTCAATAAAGAAGGGGTGAAATCCACAAGAAAACTAAAGCATTATGAGGAGATGAAGCTTATCAAATATGGATACCTCTCACAAAGCTACAGTCAGGATGACTACGTGTGAATGTGACTTTCATTTGAAGACAGTTCTACCAATCTCTGAATCCTGGGGATTTACACATTTATGTTGTTTTAGAACCAGCTGCAGATCTATACAGTCACAAAATACTATCTAGTTTTAAGACCTTTTGCTTCCAGAGCCAAGCTGTGTATTCTTGTCAATGCTGTGGGCATACAGCTTTTTCTAGTGAGAACTTTGCCTTCTTGGATTCATAGCAACATAATTTCTCTCACATCCCATACAGCTTCAGTATCCTGTTATTATTTCAATCTATTTCAGTAGGGATTGTTTAGCTTTTATCTCTCGTTTTCTCAACCACAACAACGTGCAATTCCAGTTACAATATTGAGGAAGTGCCTGTTGCAAATCAATAATACATGCTATCTTTTCATTATCACAATAGCTCTTTGGAGCTATTGAATACAGGGAAGGAAAGGTGGCTTTCCTTCCCTGGCTCACCCTATGTAATGTTATATGGGAATGAACTTGGGCATCGGGGGAAGAGCCATAGCTAGGGAAATGATTAGGTAAGAGGCAGCTTAGCCCATAAAAGGAATGTTTTCTTGGGCTGCAAAGGGAGACATTTACTATCAGGCTTGCAAGATTCTATTAACTAACCTTACAATAAATTAGAATTAGTCCATCTAGTCATGTTTTCTGTCTGGATTACCAGAACTGGTTAGATGTTGTAATGAACTGAAAAATGCACCTATATCTGATATGTACAGACAAAGTGAGTGGGAGTAGCAATATATTTCCTTTTTATATGGAGTGGATGGTAGGAGACTTGTTACTACAGAAGCTATGGCAGCATAGGTGCTGACTGAATGCCATTTTGCACTCTCCTGTCACAGAGCTGGAACACTAATTACCATATTTTTCAGAGTATAAGACACACCTCTCCCCGCAAAGTCTTATACACCGAATATAGCCCCACCCACCCGCCAGCCCCCACCCTTTGGCCTCTGTCTTCCAGCAATTTATCTCCTTGCAGCAAACAACAAACAGCCCATTTCAGCTTCAGCACAGCCTGATTAGCACAAGCAGTTGATCGTTGGTTGGATTGGCCTTCCGACCCTCAGCTATTTCAGGCTGCAGGGATTGCCATTACCTATTGCCATGCAGATTTTTTTTTTCTTGTGCTAATCAGGCTGTGCTGAAAATGAAAATGATACTAAAGCAGGCTGTTTGCTGCAAGGAGGCAAATTGCTGGGAGGCAGAGGCAGATTTTTTTTTTTCTTGTTTTCCTCCCCAAAAAAGGTAGGTGCGTCTTATAGTCTGGAGCGTCTTATACTCCGAAAAATACAGTATTTTGTGGTGATCTCTGCATTTTCTCAACATTTTGAAGCTGGCAGGTGTGAACATAACCAAAATCAAGTTCAAAGTGCATTGGAGGGGCTGGGGGATAAATGGAAGAAGTTGTAGTTTAAAAGTATCTTAATATTAGTGCTCCCCACTGAGATGGTACAGAGTGAAACACCCGAACATTTCCATTCTTAAAATTCCCCTCTGTGTTTGTATGTTTGTAACTGGAGACAGCACAAACATAGCTTCATCTCACCTCAACCGAATTAGAAAAAGAAAAAGAAAACACCAAGAATTGTCCCATTCAGCTTTGGGCTCAGGGGTTTCAGGCTGTGTCAAATGTGTCTTTTCATTTAGTTATTCATTTGATGGAGGGACTTCTGCTCCGTGATATAGTGTGCTGAAACATATCTGTGATACCACAGTACTCCTTTTGATTAGTAGGCTGCTGACATGTGATGCTTCTACCTTTCATCATTACTGACTGCTTCACAAAAATGCCTTACATACCTGTTTGCATGAAAATACCCAGACATCCTCTGAACCCTTATGAAAGCTTGAGAACCTGCCTTACTACTCACTTCTATTTTGCAATTCTCTAATCTTTAAAAAAATTGCTTGAAATATCATTTTCTGTTTTTATATGAATGATTATTTTTTACTTGAAAATAAAATCTCTGCAAGGAAAGGGGTTGGGGAAATCCTGAGCAAAAAGAGTTTCTAAAATAATCTTTTTGGGCTGAAAATTTCTGCAAGCCCTGTAACCTTTTTTTTTTTTAAAATTCACTTACCTATTTTAATTCCATGGCCCATAATGTTGCAAAAAGTATTATTTTCAATCTTGAAATCTGATATTCCTGATAAGCTAACTCCCTGAGCAAAAGAATCCAGTACAACACAATGTTGCATATAAGATTCTAAAAAAGAAAAAAAGAAAAAGACTTGGATACAGAGCAGCAAAACTGGAAAGTGATGCAATTCCATAGTGTTTAAAAGTCTCCTTTTCAGCCAGAATTCCCATGACATATTACAGTGGATTTAAAGACAGCAGAGGAATAAATATCGTTCTACTAGTGAGATGGGCAGCATATACATTTAATAAAATAATAAAATGACATAAATACCATCTTTCCCCAAAAATAAGACTGTCTTATATTTTTTTGAACCCCGAAATAAGCGCTTGGCCTTATTTTCGAGGACATCTTATTATTTTGGGGTGAATGGAGCAAGACGGGGCTCCTCTTGTTATCGTACCTGATTTCCAGCTCTGTCTCCCTAACCCTAACCAGAAGAAATGGCAGGCCCAGCTGTGCATGTGGTTGAATATTTTCGGGGAGGGCTTATTTTCAGGGGGAGGGCTTATTTTAACACATGCGCTCAAAAGCCCGATTGTGCTTATTAACTGGGGACGTCTTATTTTCAGAGAAATAGGGTATCAAAATTAGAATGTACCAAAAGTTGTTTCAAATAGCAGCATAATCATTTAAATCAATTATATCAAATGGATGAAAAGCTGAGAGAAAATAGCAGAAGTTTAATTACCAGTAGAAGTACTGAGTGAGTTTATGCAGGGAGTTACTTATTTACTTACTTACTTTATACTTTATTGCGGTCATAGACCAAAGAACCAAAACATCCAAGGCACATAGCCATCATTAAGAAAGTCCTATCAGAAGTGGAGGAAGCTTCCAGAAACAGTTCCTCTTTTAGTTAAACCATTAACTAACAACAGCTTGTTTGTCCCTGGATGAAATTTTAATAGGATATCTATAACCAGCTTACTACTAAGTATAGATACATATACAGTTGATTAATTGGTATCACCTCACCTAAAATTGAACTTTTAAAAGAAATTCAGAGTTGGGGTCATTAGCATACTGATGCTAAAACATACTGATACTGAAATCATACTGAGTATCATTAGCATACTGATGATGAAAACAGAGAAATAATTATTAGCTGCCAAAAATTTGGGGGGGGGAGCAATGTCACCTCCATAACTTTTTCCAGACTTTTCCTGCATAGAATTGAAATAAACATTTCAATCAGCAAGTAGAATTCAAATGTCCAGAAGTAATAAGTAATCATCTTTGTTTGTTTTCATCAGTGATGTTTTGATTGCACCCAGATGCAAAATAAATTTAAAACCCTGTTAAGAAAACATTTAACGTAACAATCACAATCACCTCTAGAAATTAAAATGTCTTACTAGTCATTGGAGCATTTCCAACCACGGTCAGTGCACTGAAATGCTTTTGGAATGCTTGTCCCACATGATAGAACTGTACCCCTGCCAAATGTAGCAGACTCTCTTCATCATAATAGGATTCCACAATGACAATACCCCCCATGTCCTGAGACCCAGGTTTTCTCTCACTTCTCTTATAGAGGCACTTTGAGTTATCTGAAAAGTAGCAAGGGAGGTAGAAATTATTCAGAGCTAGAACTGAGACTGTTCAAACATCCCAGAGAAGAGATGAGAATTTCAGCAAATCACAAAGGAAATACGTAATCATCAGACTTGAAGTAATACTTAATAGGAATGGTAATCATTGTATGACATCCTTTAAGGCAGAGATCCCCAACCCCCGGGCCATGGACCAGTACCGCTCCATGGCCTATTAGGAATTGAACCATGCAGCTCAGGTGAGCGGCAGGCAAGCAAACAAAACCAAAAGCACCACCATCGGTCCATGGAAAAACTGTCTTCCATGAAACTAGTCCATGGTGCCAAAAAGTTTGGGGACTGCTGCTTTAAGCACTGTTTTTAGACAGTCTCTTATATCAGTGTTACTGTTACTCACTCATAAAAACAGTAAATGTAGAACAAAAATCATATCTCTCCTACTACAAAAAGTATTTCAGTGACAAGAATCCAATATACTGTTTAATGTACTCAGCATGTGTCTCAAAAATTTACATAAACATAAATTATTCCTACAATTGTCTCCTTGATTAAAGACTACATTGTAAAACAGCAAATCCAGTGTTCATATATATTAACATTCTATTCCACAGTCTTTGAAATGCGCTCTTATTTAAATAGTGTTTCATTTTTTTCTGCATGTTGATGCATATTTCTTACAATATCTCAAAATACTTTTTAAAATATTCTTTCCCTTTAAAACTGGGGAAGAAAGGTGTGTGCATGAATCAGATTAATACATTAATCTAAGATATAAAATTATATTCTGAAAATGCCTCCTACATTTAATTGCTCCAGCCCTTCCCATTTGAAGCAAACAGAAAATGCCTCAGTTCGGTCTGCTTAATATTTCAATGTCATATACTGAAAAGCGGATTTTTATTTTTATTTTTAGCCTGTACATGAAGTAAACCTCTGAAGGGCCTCTGAAATAATGATAAAAACCTGGGATGTTAAAAACTACAATGCTCTGCTCATTTATTTACTTCTGTTGTGCATGGGCCTTCTTCCTCACTCACCTCCTGAAATAGCTGCTGCTTTACAGAGTTGCAGATGGGAAACTTTTTCACTTGTGACATTTCCTTGGATGATTAGATTCCTACTCAGCAATGCCACAACAGCCCTAAAAGCAAGATGCTCTTCGACAACCTGCTTCTTAGTAACAGTGTAAGAATACCTATAGGATACATAAGAATAAATACTGCTAGTTCTACCAAATTGTGTCAATGATTCCATCAATTTTTAAATGCCAGAAATAAGCTGAATTGAAGGCAGAATTTAGCCTTAATAAATCCTCTAGCAGCATTAGCACTGATTCCCCTTTCTGTGATGAGTATTTAATTAGCAGACACCAGCAGTTGTCTGTATATGTTACTGTTCCAGCTGAAATGTAATTGTACCAATGTAGATCCACAGTTGTATGAACTTCAAATTAACATCACATGAGCCTTGCCAACACAACGCTGCCAACTCAGGCATGATTACCTTAGTGGAGATGTAATGTAGAGTTCTGTACCATTTATTTCCTTAATGGTAAGAATTTCCTTTTTCTTTTGAGTACCTTCAAAGCTTCCTCCACATACCACAACTTCATCTCCAGGTTTCCAATCCACAAAGTCCATTAAATTCAACTTTGTATCATTGGAGTATGCTGCTGATTTCAAATATGTGACTGATATTTTGGGGACACAGCCTGAAATATTAAATAAGATTCACATATGAGGAAAAAAAGGATGACATTTTTAATGAATATTAAGCACAGCCCCAACCAAATCTGTAGTGTTTAAGAACATAATGAGAACAATGTATGGATTAAGAACTCGCCTTTTACTCATCTTTAAGTTTTTAATATAATACTGTCATTTTGCTAGTATTTATAGGTGAAAAATACTAAACATTTTCATTATGTAATTTTTAATTTCATTAAAGTGGGTTGAAAAATTAATATTTTATAACAGGGGTTTCAAACTCGCAGCCTGCGAGCTGGATACATTACGGGCTGGCCATGCCCACCCCCGGTTTAGACAAGGGGGGAAAAGTTGCAATACCTCACGTGATGACAATGTGTCATTGCGAGTTTGACACCTTTGTTCTATAAGGTCCCAGGGAAGAACAAAACAATACTTTTTTGTCAAAAAAGAATTATAGTCAGCAAATCAAAGGAAGGGCACAAACTAAGGAACACAAACTAAGCCCTGTAAAACATCCCCAACACAATATACTGCTCTGAAGAAAATGTTAAGTCAATCCTAATACAAGGACTGTCATAACGACATCAGGTTTGAATTCCATAACTAAAAACATTTGGCCAACCAATTATTTTCTTGTATTGTCTCCAAAACCTACAGTAGAACACATCATTAAAAATATTTTTCTTTTTCTTTTTTTCAGATTGTAGAAGAAAATAATCTCTCCTGTGATGTTAGCCCTAATGATGTGCTATTTCTAGCAGCACACAAGCAATATGAAGATTGCTTTTAACAATACTTCCAATGGCAAAATGAATAGCATATATCCACAATGAAAGCCTAACTAAATTTCAGTAGGAATTATTTCCATATGTACAATGTGCAATAAGGCAAATGCAAACATTTATACTATGCTTTTAAGGTGGTTTAAATGTTTGTAAACACCACCAATTAGAATACAGAAAAAGAAGTGAGAAATGAAATACTTATTTTCCTTTTCTAAGCAGTTCTCTTCTCTTTTCGTTTTAGTATTCATAAATAAAAATAAGTAATAATACAGTGGAGACTTAACTATTAAACTCAAAGATATACAGTTTTTTTCATATTACAAAATAAGTCAGTGCACTTTGTAACTTATCAATGTCATACTAACCAACAACTATACAGTTAGGGCAAATCTATATTCATACCTACTTTGAAAATCATATTTCCAAAATAAATCATCACAGCATTAATAACTTCTGGTTTCTATTTGTACAGACATCACAGTACTCAATCATTATTTGTATTCTACAATGTACTATTTGTATTCCATAACAAAGCAATTAATTTGGGGGGGAATGTATTCCCATTAATATAGATAGAAATGGTTAATCATAAATTTAACCATTCTTAATCAGAAAATAAGTCCAATACTTCCCATTAAATGCAGTTTTCTTTAAGAAAATGATTATGTAGTATTTTCACAGCTTCCTGAAATTCAGGTTTTAATATACAATTCCCTAGAAGTATGAATTCGAGATACTTTTTTCAGGGAAACAATTTCAGAGAAGAAAAAGGAGAGTAAAGTTCTTCTATTCCACTTCAATCAAAGTGAATCTGAGCAGTTTACAAAAGCAATACAGGTGGTCCTTGTTTAGTGTCCACAAGTGAGACTGACACTTCAGTTATTAAGTCAAATGGCCTTTGAATGAAACTGCAGTTCTGCTTATGATCTTTTTTCAGACCTGCAAAACTCATAAATATGAAGTTACTTCTTCATCACCATCATAACTGCGATGAGGCACAAAATGAGGCAGTCACTAAATGAGGTCTACCTGTAAACCACCAAAATACCAATAAATATCCAAAATTCAAATTTATAACAACAATAAATAGTTAGCATACATCTCCTTGTCTACGTTGTACAATGGTGCAGCTCTGTGGTGGGATTCAAGTAATTTAACAACCGGTTCTCTGCCCTAATGATTTCTTCCAACAACCAGTTTGCCAAACTGCTCAGAAAGTTAACAACCAGTTCTCCCGAAGTGGTGAGAACTGGCTGAATCCCACCACCTGTGCAGCTGTATATGTTGTTCCCAGATATCCTATTAGTGGCTTTGATAAAAGTGTCTCTGAGATGAAAATTTAGCTACAATTTGCTGAATTATGTAGTAAACTGTTCATTTTAAATATAAAGGCAGATTCATCTGGTTAAATTTTGCTTGTTAGAATGCAAAGGGAAAATGTGTGGTTGGAATAGAACAGGAAGTTTGTTGGTGTATTGCTCATTCTTCCTGAACAAGCCAGAGTGGAGGGACATGGTTCATGGTTTAAGGGACATGCTGGAATTTCCACTAGCCTCCACTGAGGATCGTCAAAGTGGACATGCAATAACAGAAATAACTCAGGGCTTAGTATTTTTTATGACAATGAAGAGCCTTCTCAGTTCTTTATATTGGAATATGAAATATATCTTGCTTCTCCAACATTTAACACAATATTTGCATTGATTAATTAAAAAATTAATTATTATTAGTCTGGAAAGCTAAGAACTCTCTCTCTCTCTCTCTCTCTCTCTCTCTTTCTCCCTCCCTCCCTCCCTCCCTGTGGTGTACTGCTGAATCATTTCTACTGTCAGTCAAGTCTTGTAGGCCTCCCAACATTGTGATGGAGCCAGAAAGAAAGCCTATCAATCTAATAAATAGTAATGCAAACCTTTTTTTAAGTGGTTGGGGAAATGATGAAATAGTGCATGTGAACTTGGCTTTATCTAAAATGTAAATTATATATACTTATTAGAGGTTCAGTCAATTTCTATGACAGTTGCTGTCAGCCTGCAAGGTAGGCTGGGTCAGGAAACAATTAACCCAAGGAATACTGGAAGCTCTGTTTTATTGTTAAAGGACATCATAACAGAATCTTGAAAGCCTGACAGTTATCCTCTTATACCAAAGAGAAGCAAATAAGGTTGCATTGCAACATAAATTCTACCTCTTAGTACTTGCTTATGATAATGTATGTCAGGTCCCAGATATTTCTACAAGGATGCTGGCATTTTGGTGGGAAGAAGAGAGAGAGGAATGGAGGTATATGAAGTTTCTGTTTCTGTTTCCAGTTTCTGTTTCTGTTTCCTGCATTACTGTGTTAATCTCTATATGAAGTCTCTGTTTCTTGCATTACTGCGTTTATATGAAGTTTCTGTTTCTATTTCTTGCATTACTGTGTTAATCTCTATATGAAGTCTCTGTTTCTGTTTTCCTGCAATGATGTAGTGTGGGAGGGGTTTGGTTAGCAATGCTTTAAAGAGCTGGTTTTAAATGAGAAGCTTCAGTTCTTGCCTAGATCTCTTGTTATCACAAATCTTCCAATAAAAGCTCCTTTTGGAACCACTGCAGTTTCAAGAATCCTGCTTTCTTGGGAAGATTGGAGAGGCAAGACCTTACAATGTATCTTGGATGGGGTGGCACTACCACAGACAGACTCTGTGCATGATCTAGGGGTTTTCCTGGACTCACGACTCCTGTTTAAAGAGCAGGTGGCGGTTGTGGCCAGGAGGCCCTTTGCGCAACTGCAGGTTGTGTGCCAGTTATGCCCTTTCCTAGTCACTTTCCGTCTTGACTACTGCAACACCCTCTACATGGGGCTGCCCTTGAAGAGCATCCAGAAGCTTCAGCTGGTGCAAAATGCAGCAGTCCACATGGTTTTGTGCAGACCCTGATGTGCACATGTATCACCTCTCCTGCGGGAGCTGCATTGGTTGCCAATTTGATTCCGGGTGCAATTCAAGGTGCTGGTTGTAACTTTTATAGCCTTTCATCTCTGGGGACCAGGTTATCTGAGGGACCATCTCTTGCCGGTCACATCTACCCAACCCATCAGAGCGGGGAGGCAGGGAATGTTGCAGTTCCCATCCCCAAGGGAGATATACCTGGTGGAACCCAGAAGAAGGGCCTGCTCCATGGTAGCTCCCTCTCTCTGAAACATCATTCCCCCAGAGATTAGAATGGCCCCCACTCTAATATCTTCCAGAAAGCCCTGGAGACCTGGTTCTGCCAACGGGCCTGAGGAGCCCAGACCGGGATGGAGCCAATTAAATGGCTCACGTGATCTGTTGTCACTGGGGCTGATTTTGGTGGTGATTTTGTTACATTGTACTATATTAATTTATTTGATTCTTTTTGTTAGTTTTTATTGTTTTAAATGTAGTTTTATATTCTGTAAGCCTCCTTGAGTCGCCATGGGCAAATAGGCGGCAATATTAATTAATTAATTAATTAAACAAACAAACAAATGAATAAATAATATGATGGTAGTACAAAATGGCAGTGCCTGTAGCATGACATCCCAATGAACATTTCATCCTTTTGGACTCACTGTGGCTAGTTGTGAAGACTTCTGTTCATCCAAAGCCTAAAGAAAATACTGAAATCACCAGGCCCAGGACTGAACCTTGTAGCACACCCCTACACCACTAAGTGTCTCATTGAGGAATAATTTCATATAACCATTGTAATAAAAGTCAGTTTAAAATATTAAGAGACTTTTTCAAAGAACATTTCATTCTGAGTTTATTTTATGCAGAACTTCATCAACATAATACTTCAATGATATTCAACACTGTATTATACATCTTTGTATTGTATTTTGTATTTGTATTGTATTGTATTTGTATTGTATTCCCTAGAGTCAGGAACGACTAGCACATATGTGCGAGGGGAACCTTTACCTTTTTATTGTCATAATCTGAAACACAATATTGGATCCAGGGAGGCTATCAATTAAATTCTCATCTAAGGAAGAAAACTAGACAGGAAGTACAATTGGATATATAGATTCATTGGTTAAGTCAAGGACTCAGGTGACAGGGCACCATATATATCGACATTCAGGTGTGAGGATGGCAAGATAGTGGTAACCATTAACATATCTAAAGCAAATCAACTAATACTCAAAAGAGCATTTCATATAAATTATTAGAATAACAGTGAAGTTTATCCCTGGTGGCGCATGGTGGTTAGAATGC